GAGGTGGCTTTTCACCATAATATAACATTCCTCCTGTTGTCTGCACTTTAAACCTGTCTCCCACTGACAAGGCGCGCGTCACCCCGGTGGGGTCAGTCGGGTCCCCCATCACTGTCCAAGCGCCTCGTCTGACTGACGCAAATCCTTTGGAATTGCCTGGTTTTGACTTGAGCATGCGTCCCCTCTTGACACTTCCAGCATGTCTGCAGATCTCCAGGAGCAATATCACCTATTGAATCAATCTCAGCGTCGCATTTGAGGCCTGCGGAAGCATTGATCAGCGCTCCGATGTCGTGGCCTTTCATAAATTGCGACCTTTTTAGTATTGGCATGCCTCGTCACTCCTGGAGACGGTCTCGCTAGTCGCGAGTCTCTGGAGTAGGCAGAGGCAGACAGAGTTCGGGGCAGAGCGGTGTCACAGGTGTCAATGCAGCTGCTCCTTATTGACAATTAGGCTCCTCCGGACCCTTGAAATGAAATCGGAGATGACAAGCCGGTGACTTTGATCCTGATCTTACACCTCATTCCAGAAATATGGTGGTGGTGGCTCCTTCAGGGGAAACCAGGGGGGGGGGGGGGTAGAGGACACAACAGCGCTCATGTATTCCCATAGATACAGAGGAGGGATTTCTATTGCAGCCTCGCAAAGAGACGGAGGGGAAGAGGGAGGGAGACGGGGGAGACGGGGGAGCGTCGTATGCATGGCAGGGCGATGCATGCGTAGATGGAGTTGGAGGTATTTAGAGGGCGTGTCCTCATGACCAGTTGCGGATTAAAAAGAGGCTGCGTGTGTGGCGAGAAAGTTGACCGTGGTTGTGACAAATGAACTTTGACCCTGCAGACTGTTCCTGTTGCCAGTTGTTTGGTGGGAGGTTTTAATGATACCTGTAACATTTTATTTATAGACACCTGATTTGTTTAAATGTTAACATGCATCCTGGTTGGCAGACAGGGACTCATTTACATTTATAATTATAAACTGTTATAATGCTAAGCTAAGCTAACTGGCTGCTGCTTCATATTTGTCTTTTCACCCAATTCTCCGCTACAAAGAGAATGAGCGCATCTTTCAAAGTATTCCTTCAATGGATGCTCGTGAAAACTGATGTTTTAATAAGCACACACATAGAAAACTACTCCAACATGAGCGTGGATCGAGTTCAATTCGACTAAATTGTACTTATAATGGTTCTTATCTATAGCAAATTGTAAATCATCTTATTTGATGAAATTGCACTTTGTTTCTTCTTCTGAGTTTGTGTCCTTATGGTTGAAATGTTCTTATTGTAAGTCGCTTTGGATAAAAGCGTCAGATAAATGTCATGTGATGTGATGTGATACTTTCACTGACATCTCAGGCCTCGTGGGGTAAAACACCAAACGGTGCTCAACAGTTAGAGGACAATAATATTTTTACAGCACAACTTCTTGAACATTTCTGAATTCATAATTTAATTTATTATTTGCTTTTCTAGACATTAAACTCTCCCTGCACATAAAATTATTTCAGATCTGTGCAGACGATCGCAGGCAAACAACTTCACCCGACGGCCTAAACGAAACCCAAGAAACAAAGTAATCACATCAAAACGCTTCCAGCTGGAGGATCTGCAGGTCACACAGGCGTCATCGGATTAAACCTTCAGCAGCGACAATGAAGTGAAAACACCTGAGAGACAAAAAGGTTTTAAAAAGGACCTTTATACGCGTGTAATTACAGCACCAGACAGCAGTACAGCCGTGTATTATTAGCCATGCACTGGCTAATTACACGATAAGAACACGTCAGGATTAAATACCGTAACTAAAGGACAGCTCACACATGCTTCCATGCTGGTGTCAAACCAAGAGGAACAGCGAGTTTCATTTCATCTTCTTGGATAGATTTAAAAACAACAACATTCTGATGACTTTCCATTAAATGATCATATTATAAAAGGAGGAGTCCAGATGGTGGAACACACGTCCCGACAGTATAATCTTACTTCATCACCTAAAAAATACATGTTGAGGTCCGACCTGCTCAAACATTCTTTGAGTCCAAAGTTATTGTGCAATATTGGACGAAACCGTTCGTCCTTGATTCACCACAACAAACCGTGCCGTCCTCACTGGCTCAGAATAACTAAACATTAGGTGTCGATGCCTTTGCTTTTCTCCAACATGGAGTTTCTTCAGAAGACATTGGGAGTCTCTTCTGCAGCTCAGCGTCTTTCCACCGTCCCGTTTCCTCAATATGGGAAGGTTTGTCTTTCATCACAGTGATGTTTCTGTTTCTAAGTAAAACCTCATTCCTTCCCTTCTCATGAATCACATGACTGGATCCCTCTGGACCGTTATTTCTTTTTTTAATTACGTTTTTTTTTTTTTTAATCGTTCAGCGCCCTGAGTCCGTCTCCCTCGCACCTCGGGGGTCTTCGGGCATCTTCTCCCACCCTGCTTCGGGTTTGCGGTCCAGACGGCGGGTGTTCAGTTGAAGCCCAGACCGGTGCCTTTGGGTCTCTGCGTGGCCCGGACGGGCTCGGTGATGCCCCTGCCCTCCGGACCCAGGCCCGTCCCGGGGCTCCAGCCCATGCTCTGCAGCATCCGACTGCCCATGTTGGAGTCGGGGATCGGAGCCGCGTTCTCCCCGACCACGGCTGAAAGAGAAGTCACAGGTCAGAGAAGTCAACAGTCGAGTTCCCGTCCACGTCCGTCCAACACGAGATCACCTCATCATTTTATCCACATTTTGCCCAATACACGTTGCAGGAACTCAGTGACCTTTGACCACCAAATGACCATCAGGTCACGCGAGTCCAACTGGATGTTTTTGTCCAAAAAAAAAAAAAAGCATTCCTGAGATCTGGGATCATGTCTTTGAAGATGGTGCAGAAATGAGGTCACAGTGACCTTGATCACCAAAATCGAATCCGTTCATCCTTGGACCTTCTGGAAATATCAGGTACACAACGTGAGGTCACAGTGACCTTGACCTTTGACCACAAACGCCAAGACTATCAGTCCTGAAGCAAAAGCACAGCAAGTGAGGTCCTTGTTCGTCTCAGACTCATCGCCGCTCTTCCTGAAGGTTCACGGTCACGTGGCAGATGCCGACTTCATCTTCGTGAAGCCGGGGCGAAGCCCGCCGGGGTGGAGTCCCCGGTGGATTCAAGCCAAACTGTCCGTCGTACTTTTGGCCGGACCGCCGCTGACTGAAACTACACAAAAAGCTGCTACTCCATTGTGCGAACAATTGATGTGTCACGGTCTAAAATGTGATCAATGTGGGACACGGCTTCAGAGGACATTACAGCTTGACCTAAACAGTAAAAGGCTCTCCTGTCCTGGTGGCTCGGGTCAGCTGATGGGACTCAAGCGTTCCTGGCTAAGAGCTCTAAGGTGATGCTTTAATGATGAGAGGGGGGAGGGAGGGATGCCAAAAAGGAGGGACTCGCTCTCTCGCTTCTTGCAGAAATGCGCAGTGAAAGCCGCCTTTGTTTACATCTGTGTGGGTGTGAGACGAAAAGCCGTAAAAGACACTTGGGCGAGGGGGGGTCAAAGTGAGAGCCGAGCATTCGATAAAAAACGGGCAGCGGGTAAAAAAAAAGAAGAAGAAAAAAAAAAGTACCAGATGGTGTGTTGGGTGTAGCTGGTTTGCGTCCAATACCTGAGGGGGCGGCGGAACCGAGGGGGGCTGCTTTTCGCCTCCGCTTGACATCCCCGGTACACAGAGAGCCGAGGTGCCCGCTGGTCTGTCTGCAAAACCAGCCAAGCACGACAAAAAAAAATAAAATGGGAGCGTTAGTTGGAGCTGAAATAACACGGTGGAAAGCAGCCTCTTTTTTCTCTGTTTCTCTTTCATTTGAATACCAATTAAAGGTGAAACCAGCGGCGCTGCAGCAGCTGCTAAAGGAAACAAGTCCGTTATAAGTCACTGGTGTTTAAGTGAAACCCTTTGTTCTCACCGGCTGGCGGTTTTCACTGAGCAGCTCCTCCGATGCCCTCTGTCTGACCGGGGGTCCCAGTGCAACTGAAGTGGCAGTGAGGGAAAGAAGAGGGAGGGGGGGGGACTTCAGCTGAAGCTCAGGCAGTTTGCATTAAATCCTCACACACACACACACACACACACACACACACACACTCTATCTTAAGAATCAGCAGCCACGTAGGTCCTTGTAGGAGACCAAAATGTTAACTTTGCATTTGAGAGGGAAGACGTTGGTAAAGAAACATGGCTCACCTGTCCGTGTTCTCTCCTCGAGCTGAACCAGGGCCTGTTGGAGACATGATAGGATGTAATAAGGGCCTCAAACTCCCAACACTGACAGAAGCCACACTGCTATTTCTCATCAGGTCTCTGATGTCCCGCGTCCATCACAGAGACCTTCACCTTCCGAGACTTTAACTTAGGAACCTTACTTGGAAAAATGAAATTGACTCGGGACAAATGGGCAAATCAATATTATCCGTGAGTGAGTTTAATATTTGTCTATCTATTACGAGGTTGTCGTAATTAGCATATTGATGGTGGAGTAATGACAGAAGTGTGTTGTTTGAGGCCACGGTGACCTTTACCCACCAAACTGTAATCAGAACAACCTCGAGTTTAAAGAAATGTGCTCACTGATTTCCTCAGATTTCATGTCCGTGAGAAGAGGACCGACGTGAGGTCAAAGTGACCTTTGACACCACAATCTTATCAAGATGCCATGTTTGGCTTTAGGAACTTGACCATCGCAAGTTATTATGGTTATTTATTATTTGGCTAATGAGCATCACTCGTTCCACAATGCGAATGTTTCCCTGTCGTCCTCCTGTTGCATATTGACCCAGCCAGCTGATTGCTAGGACGACAGGTGAACAAATGAATGAACAGGTTGGTTCTGCGGTTGGACTCGTGGGATTCTACCGTCTGGTATTTCCTCTACATCCAAGTCAGTAAAACGTGTTGCACAGAAGGATCTTCTCCTGTGACATCAACACTCCACGCAAACGGGAGCCCTGAAGACACGAAGCCTCCGACGGGCCCGGAGGAGTCGCCATGAACTAGACTTCATACACATTTGAGGATGAGGACTCACTCATGGGGGTCCTGGGCCGGTCTGCCCAGTCTGTCGCCGAAGCCCTGACTGGAGCTGGCTCCCTGAGATGCCTGCTGGTTTCCATGGAGACGACTCAGCCTTGCCTGGAACCCTGACCAACAGAGTACTGGTTTGTCACCAATTTATCCGGATTTATGCCAAATATGATCCGCTATGTATAACGTAGAATTGTTTCTAGTCTGAGGCTAATTTGAATGATGTTTAACAGGCAGCACTTTAGAGCATAGGAGTGTTTGTATGAGTGGGACTATGTGACCTGATGTTATGAAATATACTTCTAGTTCCTAATAGAAATGATGACTACAGCGCCTGCGTGCTTCCAGCCCACCTCTCTGTGCGCCGTGGCTCATGAGGGGGAAGGACCCCGTGAGGATGCTGTTGAACACCGGGTCCGCCAGGTCCAGCTCCTCTGAGCCCGTCTCCCGCTCCCACCAAGGAACCACGCCCGCTATCCCACACGCACCGCCGAGCGCGGACCCGGAGCCCGGCTCGCCCTCGTAGAACCAGTCGCTCTGCTCGTCGTCGGCTGGAGGAAGATGTGCGAGTTACTCTGATGAAGGGAGCTCGACTTTATAAAACCGCCTGATGTGGCGTAAAAAAAAAGGGAAATATCTGTATATATACACACCAACGTTGTCTGTGTGTTCCTTTGAACAATGAAATCAACACATTCGAGTATTCACCTTGCCTCCCCTCATCGTTGGTGTAGAGGCCTCCGTCGCTGCTGTTACTGACACTGCTGGTCTCGCTGAAAAAGAAAGAGCGGACGATGGAAACGCAAACCCTTTTTCCCATGAACAAATGCTGCATGTCGCTTACATACACATCAATCAATCATCAATCAGGTGTACAGGAGTCCACGGAGCATGGGGAAAAACAAAAGTCAAAACACTAACCACCTGTCACTCATGTCCTCGTCTGAACCCTTCTGCTCCTCCAACTCCATCTTGTCCTTGGACCCTTCTGTTGGGGAGGCAAAGGGGTCCTCGCTCTCCACCACCACCCCTTCATCCGCAGCCTCCATTCCCAGCCTGTAAGGAGCCAGTTTCCTCTTCTTCACCCTGTTCTTCCCCCCTGCCGGCCCCATCGGCCCACCGCCGCAGAGCTCCATCGCACCCCTGACCTCACCCGCGCCCAGTCTGTGCGGCCTGGCGCCGGCACGCGCCTTGGGGACAGGCGGCGGCCCGAGCATGGTGCAGGAGAGCGGCTCTGGCTCCGCGGGCGGGTCCACGGCCATGCGCTTCACCTTCCGTCTCCGCCGGAGGCTGCGTGTTCCCTCGGCGGAACCCAGGACGCCAAAGTCGTCGGGCCAAATCGGCCGCTTGCCCCGTCCGGAGTCGGCCGTTAGAGGGGCACGCCGTTTAGGCCCAAGTTGTTCGTCCGAGTCGCTGTTGTCCCGGGCATGGCTGTTGGCGGAGACTCCCCCCGTGCTGGCACGGTAGTCCTGCAGCAAACCGGAGTAGATCTCAATTAAGGGGATTCTGAAGCTTGAGGATGTTGATAAGCCTCTAATAGATCTGATTGGGGCTAAATTGTATTAATATTGTTGTTGTTGTTGTTGTTGTTGTGCTCAGGCGTGTCTCTGATCAGCTTTCAGCCCAAAAGGTCCTGGCTGACCGACTGGTCCACTCGGCCCAACTCACCTTGTGTTCCTCCACGCTGGACTCCGAGCCCTCGCTCAGGTGGCCCGTCTCCCACGGCGGGTGTGGGTTGTCCGAGCGTCGTTTTCGGCCCCTCCGCTTCCGAGACTGCCTCTTCAGCAGGCAGCCCACGGCCAGCGCGTGGTCGCCCCCGTCGCCGAAACCACCGCGCGCGGCCTGCTCGGAGCTCTCCTCCAGCGCGGACACCAGGTCGTGGACCAGCTCGTCCATCGTCCGGCTGAAGTGCCTGGAGGGGGACGGAAGGAGAGGACACCGTTTTGGCCAAATAACAACGCGAGAAACTTAAGAAATTCCCATTGGCCAGTTGCTAGTTATTGGCATTTCACGCATTGCTCGTTAAGTTGAACCCCCTGCGTGACGCAATACTTAACACCCAGGTCTGATGTAAGAGGCGGGGGTCCAGTTTAACTGCTAACAGGAACTAACATTAGCGCTACTCCTCCGTAGTTAACGTTAGCTAACTGTAAGGCTGTGATTAGCTTCGTGGGCTAGCTAGCTTGCTTAAGTCAACGGCAACACACGTCTAACGTTAAACTAACAAACCAACACTTAAGAAGATTAGTAGTCAATAAACAATAACAACCAGTGTGCTTAATGTCGTTAAATTGTGGTAATGTTAACGACTGTCATCGAAAAATATAGAAGGAGGAGAGCCGTCGACATTGGGATGTGCTTCGCTGCTAGCCCGCTAGCAAAGCTAGCGTTAGCTTCTCGAGCTAGCTGGCGGATTCACGAGAGTTGAGTGGACGTGCGTCTCAGAGATTTCCTACCAGGCGGTTCCCGCTTTGCCGATGGTTTTTAGATTAGCTGCACGGAACATTAAGGCCCCCAAATGCCAGATACGTTCAGCCAGAAACTACGGACAAAGACGTAACGTTATACGCCACGGACACCATTCTGATACAAAAGCTAGAGATCGGCCAGCGGGATCAATATGCGACAAGAGGACAGTGAACGCAACAGGAGGTATTATGCTGCATTCACGTAGGAGGAGACAATTGAAATACCATAAAGTAAAATTTAAAGAATATATAACAATTCTTTTTATATCAGGATATATAATTATTGTTTTATTGCTACATATAAAGCAATTTGTTCATTGCTTTTTACAATTTAAAATCTCATAAAATAATATTTACACTGTAGAAGTTTTGTACCGGAGTTTCCCCACAAGAGGGCAGCAGAGGACAGTGTGCGTGACACACTGCAGCTCTCGTGCTGCCTTCAGGTGCTATGGGAAATATAAAGCTTTTCTTCATGTACCATTACAAGGTACTCGTACATTTGTTTACTTTTACAGGAAGAAAGGTACATGAATATTTACTGTTGTATACGTAGCATGGAGTACGAATATCCACTAGGTGGCAGATTTAAGTTGTGGCCAGTTGAGATTTATAACATGTATTATTATCCTACATATTCCCATATTTTCATTTTTAGTAAAGGCTAACAATTGTCTTTGCAAATGACTCAACTATAAGACCATGAACTTAATGAATTTGCTGTGTTTACTATTATGTATTATTTTTGATGATAAAAAAATGTTTTGAAGAAAAGTCAAAATACGTCAAAAAATATCAATATATCAAATATCCAAAATATCATGGGGAAAAAAATCGTAAAATAATATGGTTTCAGTTGCCAGTGATGAACGGCAGATGATTCTTAATTACAGAATATAAGATTATATTACTCCTGGTGTTAACCAGCTCATTTTTATTCTTACAACCTGAATCTTCCTCCTCTCTGAAACCTGCATTTTGACAGAGGTCTGATTCTTTTTAAATCTAGAAAAATAAAATTGTCAGACCTGTAGCAGACCTGCGTACTGGGACAAACCCCACAAGGAGAATCTAAAATTCCCACTCAGACAGACAGCAGTGCTACTCGCTGCCTCGGCAGATGGAGGAGAGCTCTCAGCTGGCCTATCAAATATCTGCCAAAGGTCACCGGTGGAAACACCTCGGTGGCATCAGTGTCATAATAACTGCAGCGGTCACGGGAAGAGACTTGGACTTCAGCCCAAGCGACAGGTGTCCTGATCTTCTCTGAATGTCAGTGACGCCACGACTGCAACGAGAACTTTTACACCCTTGGAAAAAAACCTGTCTGGCATGCATTGGGGGTGGAGAGGAACCCCGTGCCAGCCGGGGTGATTTGTCATCTCACTGGCGTGTTATCAAACGTGACTGTGTGTGTGTACGAAGTCCTCTCAGACCAACGTCCCCACAAACAATCCCAGCAGGTGTCCCCTTCCTCAAGCGCCGTGCAAGCAAGAGGGTCCGGTGGCCGATGACCCCTCGAGCACAGCGTCAGGTTTCCGCCCGGGGGGCCCCAGGTAATAAGACGCCGCTCGCTCGCCGTCAGACACTTGACGTGCTCGCAGAGAGAAGACGCGAGCTCCACGCGGGACTGGACCTCCGGGGTTCAATACGACCACATCCGCCCACAGAGGCCACAGAAACCTGCAGCTGGGATGAAATACCTGATGGAATCATGACATCAGCCGAGGATGATGAAGAGTTGGATGAGGCGATTGACCAATATGCCACCGACACCACCTGGAGCTGGGTAAACCAGTGTATATGTACATATATACATATATATATATATATATATATGTATATTACTGGACGATCGTGTTCATGCATGATACAAATTACACATCGTGTGCAGGATTTATATCATTACGAACCAACAGATATAAAGAAATTGTTCAGTGTAAACTGTAAAAATGAATAAATAATATTAGCAGTGGACACGTTGGTGTTGAACATGTTTATTTGGTTAGAAGTGATATTAACTTTGAGGAAAAGGTATCAAGCGTCAGACAGTGTTATGTGTGCAAAGCGTAACTCATCAGGCCGGTAAACGCTTAGAGACAGTTGCTGAATGTGTTGGGATCTTCCTTTATAAATATAATGTGTCTTACCACGTACCACAAAACCTTTATATTAAGACAAAGTCATTTGTGGATATTTCTTTTTGAAATTCCCCATTTTAAAATGTCAAAACAATAAAACGATGTGCATCTCGTTTCCCTCATAATCTCTCTAATTCAATAACCAGCCGTTATTTAGATTTTTTTAACCAACGTACATGAGTGGCAGCTCATGTTCCCATCAGGTCTTATGCCCTGAGCCAATCAGAGGCCTCGCTATCCATCGTCTGTGTCAAAAGATTATGCGACTACTTTGTTAAAGCACCTTTAGCCTCGCTGAGTCAACGCGAGTAGAACGAGGCGTCCACGTGTGGCTTCTGCCGGCTCGGCCACTTAGCGGGGAGTTTGCTCTGGAATCGCTCTTTTCAAAGGGTCGTCGGCGAGAAGGAAGCAAGCGGCTTCATCACGTGGCCTGTGTGTGCTGTTCCTCCGCTTCACGTGTGATTGGTGCACACGCAGAACGCAGCCAGTCGCCAAATCCAAAACCCCAAATTGGAATTGCCTTGAGCGTGAGACCGACCTCGTCAACCGGGAGGTTTCTGTCTTCTGTCTCCCGATGAACGTCTCTGAGCGGTTCCCCGAGTCACAACGTGTTTCCGGTTGCAGTCCCACAGTGACCGTACCTGAAGCTGCTCCCACAGGCTGTTTGGTACCAGACTCGATCAGCTGAGCTCAGCTCCTTCTGCTGGCAGCTGATGGGCTCGTGTATCCTGCAGATCCTCTCAGCGCGGCCGGGCAAAGCGCTCCTATAGCCTCATGTTTAGTTATCACAGGGTTACTGCTGCAATACCTCAAAATCCGGATGGATACATCTCATGTCGCGTCGGTGAGCCCGTGTAACAGAGAGCACAGGGAGGCGTTACGTTGTGTCGGGGAAGCTTACGGGGTTTAGATGCTTGTGATAAAAATACACACGGTACATTCAGGCTGTGACGAAAGGGTCAGTTACCCAACAAGTGGCTTCGTGCCGCGATGGATGTAACACGAGAAGAGGCGTTGATCGGGAGAACACGCACACTGGGAGTGCATCAATCTACGGACAGCGAGGGCCATGGCGATGGTACATTCAAGCCCCCGATCTATCCGCAACACCGCTGAGCGTCAGCTGAGGCGGCCGGTTGGTGCGGGGGTCAAAGGTCTAGTTGTCAGGAAACAAACGCGCACGACCTGCAGGGCTGTAAAAAAAAAACACGTGCGCACCCGTCCCGAGCAACGCAAGGCCGACCAGCTGTGACATTGTACAGTGCGACACGGTGACGTGCGTTCAGCGATTCCATAACAGGGGCCACGGCGGGGTGAACGTTTTCCAAAGAGGCCGGAAGGCAGCACACGGGCTCCGTCGCCGCTAGACTGTGGTGGGAAAACAAGACATGCAGTTCGTCCTTTTATGGTTTCAGTGGGAAACAATCCGCTGCCGTGCACGAACACACACGCACACACACACACACGTGTGAGGCTTCTTAAATACCTGAAACACTGTGAACACACACACACATAAAGAGAGAGAGGGAGTAGATTTGTGACTTATACAGCTTAGTAAAGTGTCTAAATGTGTCATTAGCTGATCGTGTCTCTACTTCTTGGTAAATCTGGTTGTGTGACTCTGTAACACAGGTGCCTTGCTCATGTACGCGTCTTTGAGTGCGGCCGCAGCGAGGTGTCAGTCTCGACCGTCGACATCGCACGTGGCGGCGTACGGGCCTGTGATTGGCCGCAGAGATCACCTGACTCCCGCAGACTGACTGGGTGACTTCAAACGATGACGTAGACTCCTGCTGTCTCCCGCCGTGGAGGAACCAGCTGCTGCTGCCGGGTACTACCCCCCCCCCGCTCCCCCCTCATGACTCTTAAAGTGTGACGTCACAGCGCGGCGAGGTGGCGCTACAGTGTAGCTGCACGTCACGTACCCACACGCCACACCTGGAGCGCGAGCCCGCGGTGCCACTGTGGCAGCCGATGCGATGCGTTTGGCAACGCAACGGGCCGCCGCTGATTGGTCAGCGGGCGGGTTCTGGTGGAGGTGACGTCACCCGCTCGCCCGCAGGACGCAGCGAGACGAAACAGAGGCGCTCGGGGGGGGAAATCAGTCCCGCAGTGACTTAAATAGTCCGGTTTTTCTCTGTGACTCGGTGGCGGGAAGTCAAGACTTTGTCTCTTGTTCAATGTGTGGTTCATCTGTCACTCACCGCCGGGGACAACGCGTTAAAGGCCGTCATCATCTCATCACACCGACAGAAGGTACCGTCCTGCACGTCCCATTTAAACACCAGTAAATAGGCCTCTGTTGCTCAGGTAATTTCCCTCTCCACGGTATGTAATTGTAATGTCCTTCCTGAGTGTTCTTAATGAAATTGATCATTCATCACGTGTAACTTGCTTGGGTTCTTGTTTTATTACATCTCTATAGGTGGTCATTTGATGGGTCATTTGATGGGTTATGTGTTGGTGGCCATGTGGGACTCGTGGGACTTTCACTGAAAGTGAAATGTCACATTTTCCAGAGGTTCCAAACCTGCAGGAGAAGATTCAGTGCAGCTTGTAAGACATTAAACTCATGATTAATGCTACAGAGTGACTTAAAATAGGATTTTAGCTCCACTCACTGGGCTTAGAAACCAAGAGGAGCGTCAGTGTTCTCAGACATCGTTCCTCTTTTATGTTTCATTCACGTGTCTATTTTTGGACGAAGCTGTTCTGCTGCATTTGTTCATAGAAACAAATAATTCCCAGCTTTGAGAATCGCGGTGGGGGTCATCAGCTCTGCAACTCAACACCTGCAGTGAGAGGTTCCATTAATAATTAATGACGTTAAGGTCATCTGTGAGAAGTATTTCAAGGCTCAGTCACAGCTTCACCGGCTGCCCTAAAATTAGAACCTGTTCTCCTGTAAGAAGCATGTTCTCCTGTAAGGAGCCTGTTCTCCTGTAAGGAGCATGTTCTCCTGTAAGGAGCATGTTCTCCTGTAAGGAACCTGTTCTCCTGTAAGGAGCATGTTCTCCTGTAAGGAACCTGTTCTCCTGTAAGGAGCATGTTCTCCTGTAAGGAACCTGTTCTCCTGTAAGGAGCCTGTTCTCCTGTAAGGAAACTGTTCTCCTGTAAGAAGCATGTTCTCCTGTAAGGAGCATGTTCTCCTGTAAGGAACCTGTTCTCCTGTAAGGAGCATGTTCTCCTGTAAGGAGCATGTTCTCCTGTAAGGAACATGTTCTCCTGTAAGGAGCCTGTTCTCCTGTAAGGAGCCTGTTCTCCTGTAAGGAGCATGTTCTCCTGTAAGGAGCCTGTTCTCCTGTAAGGATCATGTTCTCCTGTAAGGAGCCTGTTCTCCTGTAAGGAACCTGTTCTCCTGTAAGGAGCATGTTCTCCTGTAAGGAGCATGTTCTCCTGTAAGGAGCCTGTTCTCCTGTAAGGATCATGTTCTCCTGTAAGGAGCCTGTTCTCCTGTAAGGAACATGTTCTCCTGTAAGGAACATGTTCTCCTGTAAGGAGCATGTTCTCCTGTAAGGAGCATGTTCTCCTGTAAGGAGCATGTTCTCCTGGTCTCCAAGGGGCGATATGTTGGCATTGTTACAGATCTTTGCTGTTGCTGTGATCAGTTTGGGGCCACTGCCAACTGAGGCGAGGTCACTCGGTCTTCTCTGTTATCAGACAGCTGTGAACCCCGAGGAGTCTTAACTTAAGTGATTTATGATGTGTTTGCGTAATAGAAATGTAGATAATTTAGTTGCTGTTGGCGTTGAGCTTTCACAACTGCTTCAGAAAGAACAAACGATCACGCTCTTTGGATGTTTCTCAAATGGAAAGCATCTAAGCAGGACACAGAACTTTGGATGAACGTCTGCTGCCTCCGTCAGACCAGTGAGGAAAGTAATAACTTCATTACGACGGACTAAGAGCTCTGGAGCGACAAACCAGCAGCAGACAGACCAATGCGTTCCATCTCGTTCTTGCGTAACAGTGTCCTTTACCTTAAAGAAATCTAGTCTTCTGCTGTCAATCCCCTCACGTCCCTGCTAAGCCAATAAATAGCGCCGAGTGCCACGGCGTCCCCTCGCTTGCATAAGCACAGACTGGTCTAACTCGGTCCGTCCTTCGCCCTCCGCTGAACGGAAAACAGTCGGGTTGGATTTCCAGACTTATCAGCAACTGTGCGAAGAGGAAAGGAAGGTCGAGGTGGCGTCCGGTTCCTTCTGCGGTGTGCGGTCACCGGACTGCTGGAGAGGAACCGGCCTGCGTGTCCTCTTTCCGTAGACCTCCGTAGTGCAGCTCAAATGAACATTAAATCAGCCTTCACCTCATGGCCATGACATGATCGCCTTCTCCCCGTAGACGCGGCTGAGGGCTTCTGACACTGAGGGTTCTCCTGCGTTTGCTCTGCTCCGTCCCGTAGACCCGTCAGACCATGAACTACGTGGGCCAGTTGGCCGGGCAGGTGTTCGTCCAGGTCAAAGAGCTGTACCGAGGCCTCAATCCCGCCACCCTGTCGGGCTGCATCGACGTCATCGTGGTGAAGCAGCCCGACGGCTCTCTGCACTGCTCTCCTTTCCACGTTCGCTTCGGCAAGATGGGGGTCCTCCGGTCCCGAGAGAAAGTGGTCAGTGGCGAGCGCCCCCGCCGCGACATCGGGACACGTTTAACCTTTCGCATGCCTGAAGTCTTGTTTCCCTCCGTTCGTCCCGCCGCTTCTTCTGCCCCTTTCCCTGCTCCTCAAGGTGGACATGGAGATCAATGGGGAGCCGGTGGATCTACACATGAAGCTGGGGGACAATGGAGAAGCCTTCTTCGTGCAAGAAACCGACAATGACAAGGTGTGCATGAATGTATCATCTGAACAGGACCAAACTAATGTGCAGTGCAACATCCATTGGACATCGATTCAAATAGAAACAAGATCACAGTTCACAAGCTGCTGTGTGTTCTCTGCACACACAGCGCGGGATTCTTTTTCATGAGCAGCACTCGTCTATTTATAGGTGAATATGTGTAAAAGAGTCCTGAATGCAGCGTTTACCACCTCAGGTTTATGAGCCATATTAAGCTGCTGCCTAAATACTGAGGACCAACCTGGCAAAGAAATATTCTTTTCAAGTGGGACACAGTCCGTCTACCGACAGACTATTTGAAAAGAAGTAAAAAAACATAATGACAGAAAGAGAACCACTAACAATTGTAACAAAACAAGACGTGAAAAATATGAAAAGCCTGCGGTTCTCCTTGAGCTCTCAGCCGCATGTGTGTAGCATGTGTGTAGCATGTGTGTAGCATGTGTGTAGCATGTGTGTAGGATGTGTGTAGCATGTGTGTAGCATGTGTGTAGGATGTGTGTAGCATGTGTGTAGCATGTGTGTAGGATGTGTGTAGCATGTGTGTAGCATGTGTGTAGCATGTGTGTAGGATGTGTGTAGCATGTGTGTAGCATGTGTGTAGCATGTGTGTAGGATGTGTGTAGCATGTGTGTAGCATGTGTGTAGGATGTGTGTAGGATGTGTGTAGGATGTGTGTAGCATGTGTGTAGCATGTGTGTAGGATGTGTGTAGCATGTGTGTAGCATGTGTGTAGGATGTGTGTAGCATGTGTGTAGCATGTGTGTAGCTGAGATGTGTGTAGCATATGTGTAGCATGTGTGTAGCATGTGTGTAGGATGTGACTCGAGAGTTAATGCACATTGGAAGAAAAACAGGGAGGGAGAGTCGGACCCCAAATCATAGTTATACCTCGCTTTTTCCCTCCTTGTCTCCCTCTCTCTCTCTCTTTCTCTCTCTCTCTCTCTCCCTCTCTCCCCTTCTCTCTCTCTCTCTCCCCTCTCTTTCTCTCTCTCTCTCTTTCCAAATGTCTGCACACACACAAAAGCCTTTGGATGCTTTCTATGGCAGCGGGAAAACTTCCTGGAAAGTATTTGTGTTTCCTAGAAGGAGGAATTCTCTCCCTCCTCCTCCCTCCTCCTTCAACAAACTGAGGGTCTTTTTTGGACCAGCTGTTTGCTTTAAGCTTGGCGGTGACGGTTCGGATGCCAGAGAAGATGTTTTCATTTAAACAGAATTTCTTTTGTAAATAAATCATGAAATACAAATAAATTTACATTTTCATATCTAACAGCTTAAATCTCCTCTAAATACCTGTTAATGGTCGATCCCCCTCCCTGCCCACAGGAAGTGGTTCCCTCCCACCTGGCCACCTCTCCCATCTTGTCGGACGGTCCGTCTCTGGGCTCGGCGGGAGAGACCGCCAGTGGGACGGCGACGACGATGATGACGAAGAAGAGGAGGAAGAGGAGAAGGAAGGTTCGGGCGGACAGCGTGAGGAGGGGGGAGAGCGGCGCCGACTCCGAGGACGACGACATGTTCACCATAGACATCAGCTCAGACGAAATGACGGGGACGGACAGGTGAGGGAACGGGAGCCATCTGAGGGGGGGGGGGGGGGGGGGCGTAAACCATGAGGTCATTGATAAAACCACATTGTGTTGTGTTCAGGACGCGAGACCTTCCGAGAGACGAGAAGGCGCTTGGGTCTTTTCTCTCCGGCCTCCACACCCGCTCGGACGGAGACTGGAGCCCGATTCAGAGGTGCTTCATTCGCCCATAAGGGGAGGAGCCCCGTTTCCACTCAGAAGAAACAGCTGCGTAGTTTGTGGTTCGTCTCTTTCAGCCCCGGGAACTCGCGGCCCACGTCTCCCAAGAGCGACTCTGAGCTGATGACCAAGCCGTCGGAATCGGAAGCAGATCAGAATCCCGCCATGCTGTGGGCGTGGGGGGAGCTGCCCCACGCCGCCACGGTACCCGAACGCCCCCCAACCCCCCCGGCACACATACAGCTCTACATGTAATCACAGCAGTTGTTCATTACTAATGACTTGCTTTCCAGCCGTCCTTCCTCCCAGTGAAACCCCTCCCTCCACCAGTTTGCCCAGTATCCATCCCGCTGTCAGAGAGCACGCACTTCCGCGTGATAACTGGCGAGTTGCCCTCGGAAACATCCGCGCTCAGGCTGCTGATGCCGGAGGCGGCGGGGACGGAGGCGGGGGAGGAGACGGCGGGGACGGAGGCGGCGGGGACGGAGGCGGAGTCGCGGGCAGCTGGCGGTGGGGCGGCGTGCGTGACGTCTTACGCGGAGGACGCCATGTCTCGTCCCCCGGGCAAGACGGACTCTCCGTCCAAGAGACAAGGTAACCATCAGAGGGCGCGAGACACGACAGGAAGTAGAATTCCTTGAGGGAGTTCATGGTCATTTCATCGCCTGAGGAATTTAGCTGTCGGCAACACAAGTCAATATACTTTTGGAATCTCTTCATGAATAGTTACTAAAAATAAGCCAACGGTTTTTACTGGTTTACCACAAAAATACTTCATTTCATGCATATTATTATTATTATTGAGCTACAACCAACAACAAAACATCAGGACATGAACTTTGCAATAGAAGAGTTGTCAAACAGTCAAACATGAACTTTAAAGAATGTTATGTAGAGAAACCCTTTTACTAGTTTCATCCATCAGAGAAAGAGAAAGCGAACACGAGCCGTCTCTCGTTGCAGACAAGAGGAGTCGCCATCTTGGCTCTGATGGAATTTACCTGGACGACATCACCGAGCTGGAGCCCGAGGTGGCCGCCCTTTATTTCCCAAAGAGGTACGACACAGTCCGCGCGCCGCGGTTCCTCCGTCACGCCCGACGGAGCCGAGCTCACCGCCTCTCCCTCCGTAGCGACGGCGGCGCGGCGGCGAGGAGCCTCCACGGCGGCAGTCTGTCCCCGCAGTCGGCCGGCTCCGGAGGGGACAGCGGGGTGGACAGCTACTGCGAACACGCGGCCGACGGGCCGACGATCGCCATCTCTTTGTGCGGCGGTCTCCATGACAACCGGGAGATCACCAAAGGTGAGGCGCGTCGCCAGCGGCAGAACAGGGAGGGAGAGACTCCTACAAAATAAAGGCGCGTGTCTCCTCTGCAGAGCAGTTCAGCGAGAAGATCATCTCCTACCAGCAGTTTTCGGAAAGCCCCTCCGTCATCGACGACCCCAACTTAGTCGTGAAAATTGGCTCCAAGTAAGACATCGCACGGCAGAGCAATGAACGCCGCCGGCCGGAAGCAGCTCGCGGCTCAATGAACGACCGGTTGAGCCCATGAGGACATTTGGCCGACGGAGCGTTTTTCCGTTGTTTGACATGTTGTTTCTCCCTCAGGTACTACAACTGGAGCTCTGCGGCTCCCCTCCTGCTGGCCATGCAGGCCTTTCAGAAACCGCTGCCAAAGGTGAGTAGCCCTCCCCTGCCGCTGCACCCTGTGCGACTCCACCCGGTGCACCTTCAGCTGCCGCGCATTATGAGTCCGATCGGTCAACGTACTGAATGTTATCGTGGACGTGATGCCGTGTGATCCACTGAATCTGTTCTCCTTAAACGTTGTCCCCCCCTTGTGTCCCCTCGGTGTCCGTCCATCAGTCCTTTTGCCTCAGTTATATTCACGCAGCCTTAGAGTTTCTCCTCGGTTGCCTCACTGGTGTTCTGGGCTACAGCTCCGTACGTCGCAAGAAAACACCTTTCACCGCTTCCTCCCGTTTTCCCGAATCCCAGTCGCCCCCCATGCGTGCTTCAGCTTTGAGTTGGGTGTGTTTTTTTTTATGGTGTTGTGTTGTGGTTGTGTGTTTTTTTTTGTGGCTCCAGGCCGCGGTGGAGAACATCATGAAGGAGAAGATGCCCAAGAAAGGAGGGAGGTGGTGGTTCTCCTGGCGAGGCAGAAACAGCAGCACCAAATCGGTGACTCCTCGCCGCTGATCACGTTTCTTTTCACGGTCCGCTGCACGAGGTGGCCTAAAGCAAATGAACGCTGTTTCTGCCCTGGCAGGACTCGGTCTGTGAGCGCGGCTCCGGCGGTTATGCCGAGCAGGACGGGGACATGGCGAGCAGGTGAGGAACCCTCTAGAACGTTAGCCGGCGGCGGAACGTTGTGACTGTCGGGGGCGTGAACACCCTTTGACGCGCTGTCCGCCCGTCAGACGCAAAGAGGAGTCGTCCTCGTCCGACGAAGACCTCGGCGCAGCGCGGCAGAGCTCGCCCACCGTCCAATCGGAGGCCGGGCTCGCTCCAGGAGGCGTGTCCTACAAGAAAACACTGCGGCTCACATCGGAGCAGCTGGTGAGATCTTATTTTCAATTCTGCTGCTTATTTTTCTCCTTGTGACTGTTGCGCGTCACACGTGTTGCTCCTCACGCGCGCAGACGTCTCTGCAGCTGCGCGATGGTCCGAACGACGTCCTGTTCAGTGTGACCACCCAGTACCAGGGAACCTGCCGCTGTCAGGGCACCGTCTACCTCTGGAACTGGGACGACAAGATCATCATCTCTGACATCGACGGAACCATCACCAGGTGTGTGACGCGTGGGAGGAACTGCTTTCGGTGGGTGGGGTCCGCTACAGACTCTGTTTTGTCTTCAGGTCCGACACGTTGGGTCACATCCTGCCCACGCTGGGGAAAGACTGGACCCACCAGGGCATCGCAAACCTCTACCACAAAGTCAGCCTGTAAGCGGAACGCCGGAACGTCGCCGGTTGTTGTTGCCACGGCGATCACTCATCTCACGCGCGCTTGTTCTCGCCTCGTCAGGAACGGCTACAAGTTCCTGTACTGCTCGGCGCGAGCCATCGGCATGGCCGACATGACCAGAGGTTACCTGCACTGGGTCAACGAGAGAGGCACCATGCTCCCCATCGGGCCCGTCCTCCTGAGCCCCAGCAGCCTCTTCTCAGCCCTGCACAGGTCTCTCATGCACACAAACACACAGCGTCTGTACGTGAACCCGCGGCTACTTTGTTGTGGCCGTGCTGCTGGTTGGTTACATCTCTGCGCTGTGTGTGTCCGACAGGGAGGTGATCGAGAAGAAACCAGAGAAATTCAAGGTGGAGTGTCTCAACGATATCAAGAACCTGTTCTACCCGAACACACAGCCGTTCTACGCAGCGTTTGGCAACCGGCCGACGGTACGCACGGGCTGCACACAGCACTCATTGCACATTCAGAGGCATAACTGCATGTGTCATTTGCAAAGATGCATTTAAATATGAATCGAACGCTTCGTTCATGTTCTTCAGGATGTTTATTCCTATAAAGAAGTAGGCGTGCCGCTGAACAGGATTTTCACAGTCAACCCTAAAGGCGAGCTGGTGCAGGAGCACGCCAAGACCAACATCTCCTCGTGAGTCCCTCAGTTCATGTCAGCAGGACACATCTCACGCTCGCTCTTCTCACCCAGAGCTCCTGGTTGTCTCCTCAGTTACGTCCGTCTGGGCGAGGTGGTGGACCACGTGTTTCCTCTGAAGATGCGAGCCTCGTCCTCAGACTTCCCTTGCTCGGACACCTACAGCCACTTCACCTACTGGAGGCAGCAGCTCCCCCGGGTGGAGCACGCGGGTACTACGCCCCCGCAGTCCCCCCGCCCCGGCAGCTGACAGCTTGTGGATGAGGGCGTGATGGGGATTTTGTTTCGTTACTGTGAAATAAGACGGAGCATTTTGAGTGCACAGCAGAAAGCAAACTATAAGTGGGTTCATCTGCAGTCAATATTTATGACGCACAAGAAGGATGCAAGAGCACTTTTATGAAAAGATTGCCTTTTGAATATCCGCGTGTATAAGATAAATACTATCACTTATTCAGGCAGCTTAGAACATGTATTATTTTTGAGTGCGTGTTGACATTATTTCAGTAGCTAGACTTAAAAGCTGTATATGCAGTCAGATGCGTACTGTATTCCTCAAACGCTCTATTAGTGCAATATGTGTTTGGAATGTATTTACTCACGTTAGACTTGTTTAGTGAAGACTGTTCGTTCCTATATTATTATATATATATATATTTATTATATAAATATATTATTTTATATATATATATAAAATAATATATATAATAAATATATATATTATATATACAGTATATTATTTTATATATACATAAAATAATATATATATATAATAAATATATATATTATTTTATGTATATATATAAAATAATATACTGTATATATATTTATTATATATATATATTATTTTATATATATATATAATAAATATATATATATATACAATATATATATTTATTATATATATATATATATAATATATATATTTATTATATATATATATATATATAGGCTAATTTTACTTGAGAACAACACACCTGTAAGCTGTATTCTGTTTTAGTATTAATTGCATAGTGTGTAATTACACGCTCATTTGATCATTGTAGTTTGATATTGTTCCTTATAAAGACGATGTTGAATGCATATTTATCGTTGAGGGAAAGTGCTGACAGGGGAAGAGAAAAGCACAACATTGTTAAATGCAACAGTTTTATTTTTCTATGGAAACCACACGGCGTGTTGCACTCACAGAGGGATGCTCAGCTCTCTGAGATGTGTGCGGATCTCCGTGACTTCCATTAGATCAATTAATTAATTCTTCTGGTTACATTAATGTAGCTTACTTCGCCTATTGTTTCTTTTTTGGCTGCCATCAACATCCCAAAACTCACCTCGTGCACAGCAGTAACAGTAAGGAATGTTTGACATGTTTTCACTGAGCAACGTAAAGGGATCTTTCTATCGGACAACAGCACAGAAGACGGAGGCCATAAGAGCAGCAGCTGCTGCTGTCCTCCATCTTCATGTTGAGACATCTAATGCTTTATGATTCTTTCCATGAAAGAGCCCAATAGCCTTAAAACGTATAAACTTTGCCTTTTGCTGATTATTCCCTCCACTTCTCCTCCTGACCAGTTCACTGTTATATTCATGTATGCAAAGTCAATAAAAGGCCTTTAACCATTTTTTGATGCGTTTATTTATGTTGAATTAAAACACGTTACTCATGGATGTCTACGCTTCACTGTGCAGAAAGGAGATGGAATATTGTCACCTGGAAAGTAATGTAATGTTGTCAGACAAATGTAGTTAAAAGTATGATTCAAATAGCGACTCACATAGTTGACGTTTGTACGTCTTATTAAAACGTTTAAACTTGAGTTTTAATTTGTTTCTGATGTCTGTTTTTGCCACAATACATCTCAATCTATTTATGTCTATTTGTTACATTTATGTTAACAAAGTCAGGGAAGCAATGTTTAAGAATCAGAGTTATAAATGAAATACTGGTCCCAGTCTCCTCCAGACAATGAGGCATCAGTACTTCAGTGAAGTACAAGTACCTGTTTGTACTTCAATACAGTCTGAATGAGGACAGATGGGGATACATCGGCCGGACAGACCGATAACGTGGGGTTAATAAAAAGCAAAGGGCGGGGCTTCGCTTCACCGGGAGGCGTTTCTAGGATCCTGCCCCCCCATTGGCCCGCGGGGGGCCGCCGGAGGGGCTCTCGCGTGCATGGAAACAAAAGTCGACGAGGACGAACACCTGCGCGGGTCCTTGTACTTTTCCCCGCAAACCATGACGAGCACGGTAAGAGGCCGCCGGCCGTCCCGCGGAGCCCCGCTCCGCGACACTCGTCCCGGGGTCCGCGTCTCGAAGGGACGTCGGCTTGTGGACTTTGGTTCACCGGGAAACGGTGCTGCTTAAAGGCGGCTGCCAGCCGAATAAAATCAACACCCTACACGGGAGCTCCTTCAGCTCCTTTTTTAAACATATCATGAATATTAAAATATTTAGAATATATAGTTTGGTTAAAAAAGTTTGAATGTGTTTCTTCAAGATTAATACATTAACTAGAAAATATATTTCCTGCAGAAAAAGCGTTGGAAGGCTGAACGCTAAAAGCTGAAATACATCTCGGAATACAGAAATTACAAAAGCTGAGATGACTTTCATTTTCTATTTTGTATCCTCTCACATACTGAGTTCCATATCAGCCTGTCTGTTCCTGTCACGGTGTGGTTCACTTCCTGTCTTATTTTGTAGTTTTCTGCCACTCGTGTCCCCGGGTAACTTCACTTCCTGTCTTATTTTGTAGTTTTCTGCCACTCGTGTCCCCGGGTAACTTCACTTCCTGCCTTGTCCTGTCGTCCCCTGTGTGTGTGTGTGTGTGTGTGTGTGTGTGTGTGTGTGTGTGTGTGTGTGTGTGTGTGTGTGTGTTTTTGCCTTTTGCTTTTGTTGCCTTTTGGACTATTAAAGTCTTTTTGTGTTTAAACTCTGCGTTTGAGTCCTGCATCCCGCGCCCCCCCGACACTTCCTATTAAAGGTTAAAGAACGGCGTCCTCCTCTTTTAAGGATTCGGGCAGAGTGAAAAATGAGGAGGAGTTTGTGGACGTGTTGGAGGAGCTGATGCACAGCGGAGATCTTGGCCATGCCCTCAGGACCTTCAGCCCCAGCCCTTACAATGGAGGTCCGCCCTGCTCCGCGGCCGACCTCCCCAAAGCCGTGCTGGAGTCCCAGTATCTCCGCTACGTGGTCCAGGAGGTGGGATGGTCTCATGGATTCATCTAAATGCTCTACAGTATTGTTTTGTGCATATGGAGTCAGTCTCTCCACCTGCTCTTCCTCCATCAGATCGCCACGGAGAAGGCGTTGTCGCTGGAGGAGGTGAGGGAGGAGGCCTCTGTGATTTTGGAGGAAATGTCTCAGAAGCTGCAGATGGGGTTTATCAGGCTGATGGCCTACATGCTGTCCAAGGTGTTGAAGAGAATCCTCACCGGCATCCATGTCAACACGGAAGGACTGAATGCGGTCAGGAACCAACCGATCCAACTGTGCATTACACACGTCGTGCAACCAGTGTGCAACGTGCAGCTTCTATCTCACATACAAATACAGCATGTCTGATCTGACCGTGTGATGCTGAGACGTAAACCAGTAATATGAATATGAAGCTCCAAGGTGCCTCACACGTGTGACTTTGTTCCCAGTACCTGGAATGTACGACTTCCACATTTTCAAGTTTCTTTTCAACAACAGAAGTTGATGTTATCAATAAAATTGTGATCATCTTTAAAGGTTTTTCAGTGGACGGAGTCGTGACGTTGCTCTTTATTGAGACCAACATGCATATGACGTCTGAGCACTCGATACGTTATCCTCAGAAACCGATTTCTCACTTTTCTGTCTCATGCAGCTCAAACAAGCCGTTCAGGAGAGTCCCGTGATCCTGCTGCCCAATCACAGGAGCTATTTGGACTTCCTGGTTATCTCCTACGTCATGTTCACCTACGACATCCCAGTGCCTGTCATTGCTGCAGGGATGGGCAAGTATCTCTGTGAAGGAAAACCACTAAATACTGTAGATGATGTGGAGCTGCGTTACGAGAACTCTATTCTTGAAATAAACATTGAAATGACGCTCACTGCATCTCTCCCTTCATTCACGTCTCTGTTCTTCTCCATGTAAAGCTCTCTCAAAGATGAGGGTGGTCGGAGAGATAATCAGTCGCTCGGGAGCGTTCTTTATCCGCCGTGCCATCGGCTCAGACAAACTGTACTGGGCAGTGCTGTCAGAATATGTCAAAACTATTGTCAGAGTAAGGCACAAAACATCAGACTCCAAACTGACTTTTCGGTTTCGTTTCTGTCGGCCTGTAAAGAGAGTTTCCCGCCGTGTGTCTCCTCCAGAAAGGATTCGCACCTGTGGAGTTCTACGTGGAAGGCCTGCGAAGTCGCACGCTCAAGTCGCTGATGCCCAAACTTGGTGAGTGTGCGTTCCGGGGTACGACGGGGCCGCGGCGTAGCTAACGTCCTGGCACACGTGTCTGCAGGCATGATGCACATGGTGCTGGAGCCCTTCTTTAAAGGTGAGGTGTATGACGTCACGTTGGTCCCCGTCAGCCTCAGCTACGACCGGGTGCTGGAGGAGTTCCTGCTCGCCCAGGAGTTACTGGGTATCCCCAAACCCAAGGAAAGCACCACGGTACGTCCTTGTCTACTCCCCGCCTCCTCCCGGCACTCACCGCCGTATTGCTGCTGTGCCCCATTGAGCCGGCTGCGCCGAATTCTTTTATTGGTTGGACTTTGTCAATGACATAAAAAATACATTTATTGTACTTGTGTTATTCTCTCTCTAACCTCAGCAGGTGATTAGTTCTCGCTCGTGACTCACTGCCAGCCGGGCTCTTTCTCCACAGGGTCTACTGAAGGCCAGAAAGGTGCTCCAGGAAGATTATGGCAGCATGCATGTGAACTTTGGCCGTCCCATGTCAGTCCGACATTTGTGTCGGGGGAAGATAAACCGCGGCCAGTACAACCTCGTACCCAGGTACGAAGTCCTCCCTTCCGTTCAAATATGATTCAGTCTAAACAAACGATCTGAACTCTTCTTCAGTAAAGTCATTCTAAACCCTCCAAATTCCTCTGAATATTACCAAAGGACATCCGCCTTCAGTGATGCGTCTCCCCCATTTGTCCCTCCCACTCCCTCCCCTTCCTCCCCTTTACACCCCATTCCCAGGGATCTTCCTCAGAAGCCCAGTGGAGAGGTCCAGGCCTGCGTGAGCTGGCTGGCTCATCTGATGGTACGGATGCAGGAGGAGGGCGCCCTGATCAGCCCGTGGTCTCTGATGGCCTCCCTGCTGCTGCAGGCTCCTGCCGCGGCGTTGACGGAGCACGGCCTGCCGTGGCACCAGCTGGCAGAAAGAACCCTGCGCCTCAGGAAGCTGGCGCTGGACTTCGGGGCTCACTTGAACTGGCCAGGTGGGCGCAGAGGACAGATTCTCTTCCTCAGTGGGCCCTTTTCACTTTTATTTTCACGTCCCTTGACGGGCCGGTAGGTGGCATTCGCACAGCGCTTGACAGGTGAACAGAGGGAGTTAATGCAGGAAAGTAAGTAAGTTGAACGTGTGGCCGTCTTACCGGTCTGAGGTAGATTAGATGAATGCGACTTGGCACAAGCATTCAGATTCACTTAGGACGACGTCTGAGGATTAACGCGCTCTAAGTAACTTATCCTAAGAGGACCAGGCTGACCGGCCTCGCAGGTCTAGACGCATGCAGGCACCTGAACACATTATACATTAACTAAAAACCAGCCCATGAACACACGATGTGGACACCGTTTTCTCCAGGAAAAGTCCCCGAGCAGGAAGTGATGTCATCCGCCGCAGCTCTCCATCACTCCCTGGTTCGCCTTCAAGCGGGGCGGGTGCATCTGGTTCAGGGGGAAGAGGACGAGAGGGAAGATCCGAGGCGCCCGGAGGAGGACGTGACCAAGGCGGCCGTGCCGATGCTGATGTTGGCTTGTTACAGAAACCAGTGCCTGCATGTTTTTGTGCGCCCCGCCCTGCTCGCGGTAGCCATACACGTGACAAAGAGCGTGCAGAGAGGTGAGGGCAACGCGACGGGGCTCTCAAATAACACAACGTGGCATTTCATAACACGTTTCCCCTCGTGCCTCCTTCTGATCCAGACGAGCTCTTCGCCTTCTTTTGCTTCCTGCGGGACCTCTTCGCCAACGAATTCATCTCCATCCCCGGGGAGTCGTCTCAGGTAACAACGCCCCTCGGCATCTCGGGACGGCGATCACAACGAGGACGATATCAAATCCCCGTGATAATATATGTAGCAAAAACATGATCCCCAAAAGAATATCAGCAAAATCAGTTGCCGTGTTGTTACCTCGTCTTCATATGCAAAGGATTCCACAGGGTTTCATGTCTAGAAGATGTTTGTGTGCATCTGCTCGTTTTCTGTCTTCCCATTGATCAGGACTTTGAGGAGGCGTGTGTCCTCCTGAGGACATGTGGAGCAGTCCACACCAGTGAACAGGAAGTGACGGTGTCAGACGTGGGGCTGGAGGTGCTACCCTTCCTGCAGGACCTGCTACAGCCCTTCATAGACTCCTATCAGGTCCGGAGACTTTTGCCTCCCCTGACTGAGAAAACGTACAATCCACATGACGCGGACATGGCTGCAGCTACCACCGGGGTCACGACCTCTGCTTTGGTTCTGGGATTTAGGGGGTGTTTGGCAACCCGAAAATAAATAAATCAATGTAAATAAATTCATGAACATTAAATAAATCTTAGTAGTGTGGAGCAGGAATGAAACAGAATCGTGCACGTAGAAATAGAAATATTTCCTGTGATGTTTAAATGTAGCTTTATGGTAAATATTCCATTAATATCTCATATGTAGTTATTGTTAATGTACTCCGGTTTGATTGGGTGAGTTTTTATGTCCAGGTGATGTTCAGGTACCTCTGTAAAGACGGCGTTCACGTGGTCTCAGAGAAACAGTTTGTACCTGCTGTGCGAAACCTGGCGACAAAGCTCATCCTCTCAGGTGAAACACGGTGACCTCTGACCCCTAAACAATCCCCAGCTGTTGAACATTTATTTGTTATTTAATATTAGCGAAGTGTCGTCAACCACTATGTGTGTGTTTCAGGGGAGCTTCACACCCATGAAGCGCTTTCGTCCGACATGCAGAAGAACGTTTTCTCGGCCCTGCGGCGGCTGGAGACCCTGACACAGTTGAAGGCGTGAGTAGCGACTTTAGCATTTATAAGCTAATCTCCTGTGGTTGAGACGTTTGTTGTCTCTTTTTTTAAAGTTCAATTTCTCATCACAGGTCTGAGCTGAATGAATACAGAGTGAACAAAGCAGCTGTCGGACAAATCAGTGACATTCTCTGTGAGTCAGATGATTTGGTGGAGGAACATTGTTACCTTGTTCTCACCTGTGAACTTAAGATGCGCTTCATGCCCTTGTTTGTGTTCACCGCACCGACCGAAGAGCCTCATGGATTTTCATTTCTTTTCTCCGCTCCCCACAGGTGGTAGAATCCCTCCCCAGAGTCTCCAGACTACACCTGACGCAAAACTTTAGCCTCCGTTGGAACGGATCCATCTTCAGGTCCAGCTTACCCTCCGGTTTACCACCACCTGACCCTTCGCACTGCTCCTTCCCCCGGCGCCTTAACTCACCGCCGGGCCTTAATCCGCCACTCTTAACGTTTGGTTATCCGTTCGTCTGATCCGCTGGCGATGAGTATTAACATTCTGAACTATAACTGTATTTTAATTAGTTGCAATTAAGGCTGACATTTGTAAATGATCACAATGAACGATTAAAACAGACTTGAATGGTGACACAGTGAGTGCAACAAGATCGTAAACGCTCTTTGATTGTATAAACTTTAATGTGCCAAGAACAAATCTTTGTTTAAGACATTTATTTTAACTTTGTTACACCTCAATAAATGTAAAACCAATGTAACAAAATGCATCGTAGATTCTTGTTTTTCACAATTACTTGGTGATTCTGTTTGTACTATTCCCTCACCAGTGAACAAAGCCCGGAGGTCAAAGTTCAACTTCCTGTCTTCTCTGAAAGCCAATTAACCTGCTCCCTGCACCTGAAAAACCTCAGCAATTAGAAGAAGGCCTCTTATGTGCCGTTTGGTCATTGTGTTCGGCCTGCGGGGAGGGCAGCTATCTGTACACGGGCGGGACGTCCACCTTGATGCGCAGAGCGCTGACGGGGTCTTGGCAGAACACCGAGATGTATTCCAACACTCTAGAGTTGAGCTTCTTCTCGCCCTCTTTGGCCCGGTGACGCTCCTTGTCCCATCGGTCCTTCTCGCCGTTCATTTGGGAGAACAGGTTGACCTGGATGGTGCGCAGCGTGGCCGCCAGCACGTAGAAGCCGCCCTGCAGCGCGTGGCAGAAGGCGGCGCCCAGGCTCAGCGCGGCGCCCGTCAGGTTCGGCACCGCCTCGCACACCACGCACGCGCCCTCCAGGAAGTGCAGCGTGCCTTTCTTGGCCGCGGGCTGCGGCGGGTGCGCGGAGCCGCCGCCGCCGCCGCCGCCGCGCGCCGCGGGCGTCTGCTGCGCGTGGCTGAGCAGGTGCCGCGCGCAGTCGGCGAAGTGGGCGGCGGCGCGGCGCAGCGGCAGCAGGGCCAGGTACAGGTGGCATGCCGCTTTGGTCAGGGCGTGGAAGAGCAGCCGCAGCTCGAGCACGGCGTTTCCTGCGGGATAAACAGGGCGGCGGGGTCAGCGCTAATTCAACACCCCGGCTGATGTCAGTAACCATTACCGACGGGATTAACAGCGCGTCACCTGAGCACGCGAAGCGAAAATACCGCAGATCAGACCGCCGCACGTCCTCGCGTCTACGGTCCCAATTGTTCCATCAAACGCCAAAGGAAATGATTTTAAGTGTTTGATTAATAAAACTCTACTTAGCTGGACAGCAGTTTAGTTGAACTCCATTTGGGTAAAATGAAAACAGTGTCTCTGCTTCCTGGAGCTGTCCAAGCGCGTCATCTATTTATAGATTTATCAGTTCGTAGTAAAACTGTGAGGCATGAGATTACTAGTTGTACTGAACTCAAACCGGGTAACCTGCTGAAGCGTTTGAGCGAGAAGTAAAACGTGAGTAGATCACAGCTGTTCTAGACAGACTTCCACAAAAGCTCCTCTTACCGTCTATAAAGCAGAATATCCACAGCAGCGCAATGACCGCTGCCAGGTACGTGAACCAATCCATGTGGTCTCCCGGACACGGTCACGAAAGTAAGGAAAGCGGTGGACTAGTTACTAGTTGTAACTAGTTGATGTGGCCAAGCCCTGCCTCCACGCGCTAATACCCCGGCGGTAAGTCGCTCGTCTGCGTCCCCGCACATGTCGGCGCCAAAGGTTCACCTGAGGAGTCCGACCATCAGACAAGAAGCCGCTGAATATGCTGCACCTCATTGTCTCCTCTCTGTGCGCCATAGTTATTCATTGGTTCATTTATAAGGAGGATCGCGGTTCTTCACCGCGTGCTGCTGTTTGCAGTTTAGACCGAATGATTTTGCTCGATCTTCTGCTCTTTGAATGCAAACCAGAGATTCATCTCACATAACGTGCTTTCTAAAGGACCGATTCCGTCTCTTGCAGCGTACAAATACAGCATCACTAGTCTGGATCAATCCAACTGCGTCTACACACACAGAGGCACCTTGTGTCTGAAGATCTATTTCTTTTGTCAATACCTGATTATATATATATATATATATATATATATATATATAAATATCTCAGGTATATATATAAATATCTCAGGTATTTTCAGGTGGGCCGAGTGTGCAATAAGATGAATAAATACTTTATTGATCCAGAGCTTGCTTTGGCCATACAGACAACACATTTGAGAGGTACTATACGTTCCCACATACACACATAACCAAACACTTTATACGAAGCTCTTTCTGTATCAGACCATAATGGTGCAACAATCAATTCTATTTTATATTAGAGAATAAAACCGGTTTTGTCCCACAACTCGTCTCTGCGCGCTGGTAGGACGAAATTATATAATACATATATATATATATTGTAGCGTGCCTTAAGTTCATAAATGTATATGGCTCTGATTGATGTTACTGTTACGTAGGCCATTGTTGGGGTACCGCCCCTTCCGGGGAATGTGGGTAGTTTTCGGGGAGCACAGGAAGGGAAGTTCTGTTCTGAGTTGTTGATGACCGGGTGTGTGGAATGGCGTGGCTGTGGCCGACAACAGACAACAATAAACCCGAGCGATAAGAACCTGACTCTTTATTTACACGAAACATTACAATATATATATATATATATATATATATATATATATATATATATATATATATATATATATATATATATAAAGCATTTGTCAACTAAAAATCCTCACTGGAGGAAGCAGCCTTGATACGTTATTTTGCTCCTCTTCCACCTCTGACCTTACGTGTCATGTGTGAAGTTACAATGCTGGAATCTCCGTCTTTAGAGCGACAATGGAAAGGTTTCATGTTACTGACGGAGACGTACGGCAGCCACTGGTGTCTCTTTTGTCTCTGTCAAGGACAATAGGAGCGATCAGATGACGTGCAGATGAGCAAACCAGTTACACCGGTATTATTTCAGAAACGTGCAACAAAACGCGCCGCAAGGAGGCGGCCACGTTGGTGTGTTAAATCATGTAAGTCAGGGGTCTTCAACGTTTTTCAGGCCTAGGTCCCCCAAACTGATGGCGAGATGAAGCAGAGACCCCCTGTTCTGTAGAGCAGCGGCTCCCAAACTCAACGCTCGCGAGGAGAATCTCTGCTCGCGCTCGAAGGAGTTTTCTACGCGCTCGCTGTTGTTCTTTTTGACAGTAGGGTGGTCCAGGGTGCATTCAGGGTCCGATCGATGCCGCGAGGTGCGTCCGCTCCCGCCGCCCCCCTCGCCATCCACGCCTTAAATCTCCGGCTGCTTTTAGAATAACTTATTTCCCCGTTAAGACGGTTGAGCTACTGTAGAGAAAAGGGCGCCGTCTCTCGCTCTTTAATCTCATGAAGCGCTCGGCAAGAACGACAGCTTTGTTTCTCCGACGCGCCCTGAAAGCAGCTCCGTATCTCGCTCAGCATCTCGCCGTCGTAGACGAGCTTTGGCGTGTTTGGCAGAGTGAACAACCAGTACGGATCAACCGATCAACCAATTGATCCATAAATATAAGGCGCTCCGGACAGCAGCTGTTTTGAGCGAGAGCCTTATTGTTTTATTAATCTGTCCGTTTAAATTGTTTGTGCTTCATCAACTAATGTTTCACATAACTAATGTGCCGCATCATAAATATTTTTATATTAATTTCAAACTTTTAAAAATTGAAAATGAAAAAACTTTATTTATTGTAAATGACGTCTCGCGGCCCACCAGGGGGCCACGGCCCACACTTTGGGAATCGCTGCTATAGAGTTTTGTCCGCCATCTTTTATTTTTGAGCTTTGCGCTCTTGAGACGTGAGCGTAGACGCGATCTGATTGGCTGCTGTCGTATTTGGATGACAGGAGCTGTGAGCGTGAGGCTGCTGAGGAAAGCTGAGTCGTGTGTGTTGTGAAAACGATAAAGAGAACGTCGTCTTCGTCAATTTATCCTTTCGCTACGATATGTTGGATTCATGTTTATGCGTATTTAAAGACAAAGACAATTCTAATTCTGAAGACATTTCAATTTGTGGAGGGAAAAATTGTTGAAAAAAATAAGATTTCGCGACCCTCCTGCAGTACCTCCACGGACCCCCTGGGGGTCGCGGACCCGCTGTTGAAGACCTCTGATGTAAATCAACCCAAAGTGCAAGAACACACGCGTGCTGTGTGTTTGTGTAACAGTGAGATGCAGCTCGTTTCCTTCTTCTACATAAACGTGTCTGTAGACTCCAGCTGATGTTCTCCGTCCACACGGAGCGCTGACATCCGTGCGTTTGCAATGTGATTTATATGGAAATGACAGTTACTGAAGACGCCGGTGACTCTTTCAGGAGCGCCGGACGAATGTCCAGGAGGACGAAGGACGCCCGTCTCCTCCGGAGAGGAAGAGGAGCCCTGCTGAATGTGAGCCGAGCAGGAGCGGCTGAAAGTCAACAGGTGAAAGGAATAATCCAACAGCTTCAGGACGCAGAAACGAGTCCAGTGAAGGTAAGAAGCTGCCAGTAAAAAGGCTTCTTGTGTCTTTAGGGGTCTAAATCTACTCCCCGTGTTTGAAAGGTGCCTCCTTCAAGGACTTGGAGGTTTCTGAGCCACGTAACAGAGCAGAGGAGGAGGGAGCTGCTGCACGAGCGCGTCTGGGTTCCCCTCCAGAGGAACGTGGAGGAACGTCCAGCCGGAGCTCATACCGTCACTGCGACACCAAGGTGACGCCTATCTCACCGTGCGGGCTGCTTGGACTTCGGGACGCAGCTTGTGTGGAAACCACACCGGCGAGGAGCGATTATCTAACTGGGGTCCTTTATTTCATCTCCAGGGCTTTGAGCTCCTACCGGCGATCCGAGGGAATACAATCCGTTCCTCGCACGCATCACAAAGCCGCTTTCAAGGTGAAGGAATGTTGTCATCAAACGGTTCATCCCGCAGCTCAGTGCGGTTGACTTGTGAGACGCGTCGTACCTTCAGTCACGTGAAAGACGGGAGGAAAAGGACTCTCGTGGAGCCGGTATGTTCCTTCTGATTTCTAAACTAAAAGGAAATTTAAGACTCATACGAGCTTTTATTTCATTTGTGTGAATTCCTTTAAAACAATGTACATTTATAAAGGAGAAAAAACACATTCTTCCTGTTACAAAATAAAATCTGCATGCACAGCAATGCACTCAGAGGTTCTCTTTGTCTGATGGGACAGTTTGAGCAAATTTCCTTTATATTTCAGGATGTAAATACAGAAGGAAACTTGTAAGTCTGACGCCTGGAACCGACTGCAGGCCTCATTTAACCACCTAATGACTGAAGCCAGACACGCTGAGTGAGACTGGACGATTGGAGTACAGCAGGTACAAATATAATATTGTTTATATTCATTCTTATCTTTTAGAGTTGTTTTTTAAAATATGTTAGAAGTAACGTTGTGTCTCATCCAGCCTGAACACCACATCTCAGCAACGTCCACACCGGACGGGAGGAGCTACCAGAGCGGCTGCCGCTTCCTCAGAGGTGGACGCCGGTAACAGCAGCTCCAGCCCTCCCAATAAAATCCATTTGAACCGTAAATCGGCACCGCTTGCTTCTTTACCTTCTTTGTAGGAATGTGTTGACAAAGTATATCTATCTATCTCTCTATATATATATATATATATATATATAGATAAATAAAGACACCTCCCTCCTCCTGCCCCCCCGCTCCCGCCCCCCACTCTTTCTACCCCCCTAGTGTAGGTGTGACAAAGTACCAACCCACCGACTTAAGACTCAGTGCATTTAGTGGATCAGCGCCTTTAGTGGGAAGCATAAAACAAGAAGAGCCCATTAGAAAAGTAAAGTTCTGAAAGACAATAATTGTATTTAAACATGCTGGTTCTGTAATAAACTATTATTATTCTAGTACTAGTAATATTCTCTTCTGTAATAGAAGTCCAATTCCCATAGTCAGCAGGGCAGCCGGGCCCAAGGCTGCTGCCCGTCTGAGTTCTTTTGGAGGATTTTCATGATATACAAAGAAAAAAAAAAAAGTTGACCTTTGACCCCCTCTACTTTCTTCATAGACTCGGAGAAAAAACAAATGACTGCCACCTTGTTTTGGCACCGCTGGAGTCACACTGGGCGCGGGGGCCGCTGACGGACAGATTGAAAAGGGGCGGGGTCAAAGTCCGGCCTAGCTGTCCTTGTGCAGCGTCTGGTGCAGATGGAGGTAGAGCTGTTTCCTTGAGAGAAGCTGCAGTTTCTTCCTCTTGAAGTCCGTGGGCTTCTTGTACCTGAGGATGAAGACAACGGCGTAAAACGTCTCCGCTCGAGAGGCTTTTAAAAGAATCGTTTGACTCACAGCTCGATGACGATGGGGCCGGGTTTGATCTCGTCCATTTCCATGAAGGCGAAACATTTGGTGCTGGTGAACCTCTTCTTCGGTTTGTAGTGCTTGAATTCAAAGAAGATGGCTGCTCCTGGGAGAACGAACAAACACTAAAGAATCAGAGTAGAATCACCTTAAACAGTCGCATTTAAAGGGTCACATGGTCATGAGACGGGTCCCTGGTGGAGCGTAAAGCGTTTGTGTGTTCATGGGAACAGGGGGCTCTGAAGACCCTCCCTGCAGCGGGAACATTGTCCTTTATGGACACAAGCTTCCACGATGCTTTACAGGTGTGTAGTGGACGGACACGGACGCACACACACACTTTATGTCTCTCGTCTGATTCTTTGCAGCTGGTTTCCTTTGAGCACTTGTCTTTGGGTCAGCGGTCAGGTATTAAATTACCTTTCGGTATTTTCTCCACATGTCTCTGGATCTCCACGTCCACACTAAAGTGGATGTAGGTGTCTTCCTTCCTGCAGGCCACGGGTGTGTCCTGCACAGGGTTCACGTCTACGCCGTTCAAATCTGCACGACAACAGAATGCGCTTTTGGTTCTGGACACTTTGATACTCGCGGCGACGCGCTTCTCAAGGACGCGTGACGGACGCTCCCGAGTCGCCGAGTGGACCGTTACCTTTGACGCTGATGGTCATGTACGGGTCGATGCACTGCCCGGCGTCCTTCAACCCGATCTTCTCGATCTTCAGAGTGAGCAGTGTCATCCCGGGCTCGGAGGGTAACCGTGGCAACAGGGTACCTGTGCAGGACCAGAAACGGTTACGGACAGTGACAGGCCGAGGACGCCACTCGAGTCCCAAGCGCGGTCGGCAGCGGCGACAAAGTGAGATGTCGGCGAGTGGACGGCGTACCTCGCGACGCTGCGAATGAAGCGGGGCGGCAACGAGCGGCGACGGAGAGGAGCAGAGAGACACACCGTCAAACACCCGTCCAACAACAGGACAACGCAATGAACGACGGGGGGGGGGCACAGTACCGGGGGCTCTCGGGGGGAAAGCTTCTGTAGAACCGGCTCCTGCTGCAGCCGTGTCCTCCTCCTCCGCTCCTTCCTCCTCCTCCAGCTCCAGGTTCTCCTCTTCACCCGGAGCCAGGATTTTCCTGACAGAGACGGCGGTTCAGTGACATCACGCAACTTCCACCAATCACGCGAGAACAGCGCGGGATGTTAGGTGGCGTTTACCTCGAGGGCACGGGCTGCACGTCGAAGGGAAAGGCTTTGTTGTAGGTCAGAATATTTTGAATTACTGTTGAGAAAAAAGGAAATGAGATCAACGGGAGGACGAAGGAGTTGGAGCTCAACCAGCAGTCGTTTCACTCACTGGTTTCCAGTTTCTTCAGCTCTTCTAGCTTGAAGTCCTCCTTTGACTGTGAGCTCTGCAGCAAACAAGAAATATCATCTGTAAGAACTTTTCTGATTTGATTTTTTGGCCTCTGTATGTTTAACATGTGTTTTGTAGCTAAATGTTAGTACTTACAATACAAATAAAAGAGAAGAACAGAATTCACGACACAATATTTAAAGTTCATAATTATGTCAGTTTCTCAAGATTGGTGTTTGACTGAAATTTGAGCTTTATCATGTTTCAGATTGTTTTAAATGGCACAAACCTGCAAACTGGAACTTCTCATCTCCAGGCAAGTTGCAATCTTCCCTAATGTTTTCTTATAGAAAAGAAGAGATCATGTTTTATGGAGAAACTCGTTCTTCTGTCCAGAGGTAAATGTAAATGCACTGATTACCTTTTGCTCCTCTGTGAAGTCGGACGCATTTGTTGACTGCACCTCTTTTTGCAGTTGTCTCGCTAAACTAAACGACAGAGAAGAAGGTTGAAGGTCGCCAGTTAAACTCTCGTAATGAACGGTGGCTGAATCCTGTGTTGTGCGCCCCCTTCTGGTAGAACACATGATGTCAGCGTCTGCATTTCACATTACTGACGCAACGTCAGATAAACATAAAGAAGCACATGACGTCATGGTAAGAGACGTGTGTACAGACGCGCACATTGTCTGGAAAGCGGGAAACATTCCTCCCTGAACACACATGAAAAGCCACCAGAACACGAAGAGGGTGCGGCGGACCTTCTAGAAGATTATAATAACAATTAAATAGACAAATAGCCGCAAACAGCTGTGGGTTGCCTCTGTTTGTTTGTTTGTTTGTTTGTTTGTTTGTTTTTACTCCACAATGAAAGGAACCAAAGTGGCGGGGGAGGAATCTGGGATGCAACACTGCGGCGGCCGCGTTTAACAGCTGCAACTTCCCGCGCGCACGCGACTTACATCCGGTACTCGTCCACAGCCTCCACCAATTGTCCCCACGAGTCAAAGTCTGCGGCTTTCCTGAAACTGGCGTGCCACTTCTGGACGGACTTGTTGACTTCGGACATGTTGGCGGGGCGGGCGCTCTCGGGGCGGCGCAGCCGGGGACGAGGTTCATCTGCGGGGCTCCGCTCCGGGCGGCGTCGTCGGCTCCCGGTTTCTCCGGTGCCCCCAGAGCCGCGCAGGACACACGGACACCGGCGAGCGATACGTCGACCGAACCCTCTGCTCGACCGGATGTCGCATCCGCTGCAGAAAGGAAGTCCCGCCCGAAGGGTCGTCGCGTGCGCACGTTTTGAGACGCGGGGTCGCTCGGGCGGACGGTGACAGGATGTCTGTATTGTGATAGACTTCATTTATATCATTGTATGGTTTCGTTCAGAGGTAATTATTTTCCATCAGCGTGTAAATTAGCCGGTTTATGTGAGAGAGAAGCATTAGTGAAAAAATAGACACTTTACTACTAATAGATCATATTTATTACATTTGTTTCAGAAGTACAACATTTCAATCCGTAATTAATTAGCAATATAAAGTAACATCACATGTATTCGTAAGCAGGTTAGAGTTTGTTTACTTTCGATCACTTTACATTTAACTGCCAGGTTTCAATTTAGTGCACTGTTAAATATTTTTTTAAATAAAGTCTTGTTATTTTTGTATTATTTGTATTTGTATCATTTACACTAACCAATTGTAGCACTCAAATTGTACTTATATTGGCTCTATAGCAAGTTGTAAATCGCCTTATTTGATGAAATTGCACTTTCTTGTTTTATTGTTTAAGTTTGTATCCTTATGGTTGAAATTCACTTATTGCAAGTCGCTTTGGATAAAAGCGTCAGCTAAATTACACGCAATGTAATGTAACTAGTTTAAATGTATTCAAATTCAAAAGATACATTATTTCTATCTGACACTAAAACTGTTGATTAAACATGTATTCTTGTTCTGAATATGTTTCTTCTTGCATACAATTGCAATTTTCCTGAAAAGTGATAATAATCTACTTGATTTAATTAAAACATGTACAGTTTACACAGCTCAGTTAAACATTAACCCCCTTCTAACGCCTTTATTTTGAAACGGAACCCAGCGGTTTCCGGTTTCGTCCTGTCGCTCTCAGTCCGGACGCCGCAGCGCCGCGCAGCACCATGTAGAACAACACGGCTTCAGCTCCTTGCAGCCGCTGGCGGAATGAGATAAAAATGGACACCGTGGCAGCGGACTCGTCCCCGGCCGAGGAGGACGAGTCTTCGGACTCTGAGGTTTTGTGTTTGAAGAGAGTCGGAAGAAACTCAGACTGGCTTCGCTTGTTGGGAAACACCGAGGTGCAGTTTGCTAATGCTAGCCAGCTAGCTTCGTTTCCCCGTGTTCACCCACAACCTGCTCAAGTTTGCTATAAACCGATGAGACGTATTCCGCCTCCTCCGTAGTTATTTCCCCCTCTGAGTCTAACGGTTTGCTCTCATGTTCCACACGGACATATAACGTAATATCTGACGTTACACGCTTGTGTCCAGATCCGCATCGGACGTGGACTGGACGTGACCCACCAGCTGCTGTCTCCCAGTTGTCCTCTGATGATCTCCAGACTGCACTGTACTGTCAGACAGAGGGAGGATGGACAGTGGACAGTGACAGACGAAAAGGTAGAATCGCATCTCCCTTTTTTTACTGAATATCATATTAAATTGCAGCTGATAAAGTCAACGTTGGTCATTTTGTCCCCTCAGAGCCTCAACGGCGTGTGGGTGAATGGAAACCGCATACCCGCCGAAGAAGCCCATCAACTGAGGCTCGGAGACTCCATACAACTGGGCGTCCCTGTGACTGGGACAGAGGTGGAGTTTGACTACGTCCTCGTCCAGCGGCCCCTCAGAGACATCAAACACTACTTGGCAAGGGGACACAAGGAAAGCCCCAAAGCAGCCCCCGTTTCCAAGAAGTCCAAGAGGAAGTGGTCCGTGGAGGAAGTGGAGCCGTCCACCTCCAAGCCGAAGCTCTACCGCTGCTCCTCTGCAGACAAGTCCTTTGCGAAGCCGTGTCCCGCGTCGCCAGCGCAGCGGCAGCCGAGGCTCGCTCACTCGCAATCGGAGGAAACTGGAACAAGCAGACAGGTCCAGGAAGTAGACCGGCCCTCGGATGGCTCCAACAGTCCCTGTGACCTGGATGAGCTGCAGATGTAAGTCCGTGTTCTCGTGTGGCACCATGACGTGTGCACATGTTTTTTAGCCGAGAGGTTAATCGACTGAAAAAGTCCCGCTGCCGTTGCAGGTACAGCCAGAACATCCTGAGGTTGAGGGAGCAGGTGGACGACACCCAGAGGCAGGTGGCCTCTCTGGGGGGAGCGCCGCAGCGGGCTCACCCTCTCCGAGAGGAGCACGTCAGGGAGCTGCAGGCTCAGCTGGAGACGCTGAGAGCCAAGATGCACCGGATGGAGACGTTGGAGAAGTCCTTCAGTAGAACTAAGAGGCAGCTAGAGGTCCGAGGCCTTTTCATTCATGCAATATGCACCAACTGTAACCACACCTTGCATAACTAGTAGTGGTGTGCATTTGTCTATTAATGAGGTATAAGTGAACATTGTTGTCTTGTGTGTTATTTTTTGTATAACTGTCCCTAATGTACTCAGGCACAGAAAACCAAGCAACAAGAGGAGCATTTGAAAAAGCAGCTGGAAGAGGCCTTGCAAGAGGTAAGTAGCATAAAACTTACAAGCAACCACACACGGAATGTATCAGGTCAAAATGTTATCAGCTGTTGCTCTGTTAAAGGCTCATCCATGGATTCAGTTCCACAACCTTGTTTTACAATTTCTTTCTTCAATTTGACAAACTGTTTTCCATGTCCGAAGCAAAAGAAAGTAATAGACGAGCTTGCCCATTCTCGAGAAGGATTCGAAGAGATTCTCTTGGCCAAAAACAAAGAGCTGGAATTGACAAAGGTACGACTACACTTACTGACAATTAAGCATCGTCTTTGTGTTTTGTTTTGTGTGAATCTCTATTAATTTATTCATTATTTTTGCAGGAGGAGAAAGAAAAGGCCAGAGCCCAAAAGGAGGAAGTAGTTACACAGGTGACTGAAGTTTTGGAGAACGAGCTTCAGTGCATCATCTGCTCCGAGCTCTTCATCGAGGTGATTAAGTCCGTCGGCCACGCTGCTAAAAAATACAAGCAAAACGGATTCAAAAGCCAAATACAGCAATTATCACACAGCAATAAACTCTGAGGCTGTTCGACGAGATGCGTCAGTAATTAAGCACTTTACTAGTTTTCTCCAGGAGCCAAACGCGAAACAGAAAAGAACCTTTTTCCGATCCACCGTTTGTCTGCAGGCCGTCATCCTGAGCTGCGCTCACAGCTTCTGCAGTCATTGCATCAAGCAGTGGCGCAGAAAGAAGGACGAGTGTCCCATCTGCCGGCGGGCCATCCAGTCCCAGACCCGCTGCCTGGCCCTGGACAACTGCATCGACAGCATGGTGAAGAACCTGAGCCTGGACATGAAGTCGAGGCGGCAGACGCTTATTACCGAGAGGAAAGGTGAGAGGTGCGTTGACAACGGCGGTGCCGGTATCCGACCCGCCGGGCTGGAGTGCAGAACTTGTCTCATCTTCCCGGGTAGTAGTGAGATTATCCTGCAGATGAGCCTCCCGTTGTCCCTTTTTGGAGCTTCCTGTTCGGGAAGTCTCTCGTTCTCATGGTTCTTCCCGGGTTTTCCCGGTACACTGCTGCGTTGCTGCCGCCCCCGATTGCTGCGTCATTGAGCACAAACATGAGAAGATTGGAGCAAGAAATGGAGGTTTTCTTGTACTAAAAACACAAAGAAGAAGGAAAGCTTCAACTTTTTATTAAAGGATTAGAATTTGAAACTTAAACGACGGTATGTAGTCGACATGCGGATCACACTCGTATCGAACCGGGCTTACTGGCCGACGTGTGCAGCGTTCATCAGAGCGGTGAACTGTCCTCGACCCGGCGGCTGGTGTGCTGAAGCTCCTCGTGTGAGATAAATAGGCTTTTCAAGGTGTTTTAATCGGCCTAATCGATCGTTTTAAGAATACGCTTGTTGGTGGGGCGGGTGGTCCGGCGTGTGGCGCACAGGGGGGGTTTCAAACAGCAGGGGGCAGTAAAACGGTGCCGATTGGTTTGATGTTATTTTAAAAACGGAGGCTTGTTCTAAAGTGAAACGCAGTATTTAACACTGAAACACGGAGAGCGATTCTAGAACGCACACCATGTGAAGGCCCTTTCTGTCGCTGTTCCAGCTGACGCTGCTCAGGTGACGGTGATCCACGACGACGACAGCAGCAGGAGCAGCGACAGCAGCCTGGTGTCCATCGACAGCAGCCTGAGCTCCGCGGTCTCGTTGGAAACGGACACCAGCATCCACCTGGACTCCAGCCCGGACTACAGCGGCTACTCGGACCAAAGTCTCGACGGCTTTGAGGATTAGCGTTTTTTTTCTTCAGAGGGAGTTTGACGTTTATTTGGTGTTGATGTTCAGATAGAGACGTCTGGTCTCATCATGAGTCCCTTAACCGGATTTCCTTTTTGTAACGTTGTCAGATGTCTTTTTGTCTTTATTTACAACAAGAGGAATAAAGTTTTTTTCCGAAGCATTATTTATTACATCACATGTCATTTAGCGACTTACAATAAGTGCATTTCGACCAAAGCGCTTTTAAAGTCACACGTTGTCTGAGCCTCGAAATGTTTGGTGAAGCACGACTCCATCAACCGAGACATGAACATCCATCAGCAAACCTTTGCTGTGAGAGAAGGAATCATCAGGTCCGTGTTCCTTTGTTGCAGCATCACTTAAATCAGTTTGAGGAAGGATGAGAAAGTTACAATGAATCTGTTACACGACACGGTAATGTAATGTAATGTTATGGTAACATGGCTTAAGCTCAGGATCAAATACATGATTAAGTCAAAGTATCTGCAAACCAGTAATGGTCCATTTCTCTTAATCCAGAAACAACCTGCCGAGTCTAGTTTGCAAATTAGACCTAATTTTTAAAGAAATATTATTGGCAAAGTGGCTGTAAATCCAGCAAAGAGGTCAATGTTTTGTTGCCTGTTGTGTTTCATTCCGCCTCACTGAGCGACGCCCCCCCCCCCTTCCCCGGGACTCAAACCGGCGCTGTGGTGCTTTGCTGAAAGGCTCCCGGGACGAACGTTAATCTCTCATATCAGGCTTCATGACAGCCAGCCGGACGCTTTCCTCCCTTAACACACTGGGATAAATGTTCAGTGAATTCACTTCATGGTGACGAAGCATAAAATGAGCTGTAAGCTTTTTTCTTTAAGTAGTTTCTCCCGTCAATCAAGCTTTGTATTAAATACAGCAAACAGTATCACTTCCAAGAAAGCAAAGTGTGAGGCTGCAAAGGTCAGAGCACCACGAGCTGAAGCCATAAATAATCACCACGCGTATTCATTACTCCGTGTGAGACGTCCTACTGCACATCAGTGGACCTCATGGAACCCACCAAGTACTCGGTTCTGTTATATTTCACCGGGTGAAGATAGAACAATTATTTCATTTGGTGCTATGGTGAAAATATCTGTCTCAGTCCTTTCTAACAGGAGATATTACAGGATTTCATAGTGACAGAAGTGCAGTTTGAAAAGTATGATGAATGATTCCTTGTATGTGAATGGTGGGAACAGAACGGACCCGTTGTTTTTAAACCGTGGTAAAAGTCAAAGGCTGCTGCACGTAACCTCAGCTGACTGCGCATCAATGAGCTGACGTTAAGGTCACAACCCCTGGCGTGTTTGGCGTGTTTGGCGTGTTTGTGAGTGCATTGGGAGGCCGCTCGCTCTCAGAGGGCGTCTGCCTCTCGTGCCGCGGCGGGCCGACGCACGGCGCCCATTGAAGCCGGCCTACGAGCGTAGCGTGTGTCCGTCAGGCTGTGTTACACCAGGACGGCGTGATGGAGCCCCGGGGCCACAGTCGGGTCCCTCCGTCCAATCCTCCAGCCGACCGAGCAACCTTCTCATGACAGTTCCATCTCTCTCTCCCTTTGGGGCTTTTTGAATCTAGAATATAATCTGAAGACGTTCTTTAGTTACGTCATCATAACTGCGATCTTCTACATCGAGACGAAAATGACTCGAGACTGTTGTGAAATCATTTAGTAAATCCTTGCACGCACATACAAGCCCCTCAAAGCTTTACTTCACAGCTCTGGGTCTATGGGGACAAACATCTGTGCCCCCCTTCTGAGGGGAGGGCTGCTGAATCAGCTCTCTGATAGAGACAGAGAGAGAGACACAGAGAGAGAGAGAGAGAGAGAGAGAGAGAGAGACACAGAGAGAGAGAGACAGAGAGAGACACAGAGAGAGAGAGACAGAGAGAGACAGAGAGAGACACAGAGAGACAGAGAGAGACACAGAGAGACAGAGAGAGACACAGAGAGAGAGAGAGAGATTTTTTTTTTGATTTTTGAAAAACCTTTATTTTACATAAAAAAACCAAATTAGAATCATTTCTTCTCATTTGCCCGTCTTCTTGCTCAGGATCCTCCTCCGCCGGTCAGACGCCTCACTCAGTCCCATTTCCTCCATCCCTGGTGATCTTGAGGTTGATCTTCCTTAGTCGGAAGACCTCCTGCTGGGTGTAGTCTGCCCCACCCTTTTTCGTGCAGCCGTGTCGAACGGAGCGCGCAAACTTCTCCAAGTCGGAGAAGTAGTCCTCCAGCTCCACTCCTCTCTGGTTCTTGGTGGCCTGCAGGAACGCTTTCATCTGCCCCACCCCGTGCCTGCTGGTGACCGTCCCCCCTGAGGAGACGCTGTCTTCAGAGGCCCACCCTGAAGAGGACCCTGACTCCACACCTCCCACCTTTCCTCTGCGCCCCCCTCTTTTTGCCCGAGAGCCTCCCCTGTTGGCCCTCGTCTTCCTCTTCAGGCGGGGGGCCTTAAAGTCCACCCCCCCCTCTTCCATATATTCCTCGCTGTCCGAGGTTCCACCTCGAACAGCTCCCCCACTACCAAGTGCCCCCATCCCCTCTTTCACTCGGTCACACACACCTGCCCGCTGGGCTACATTCAACCCCCCATCCACTCCGACATTCATCCCCTCTGACCCCTCACCCACCTGACCGACCGGCTGGCTCTCGCCCAATCCCACAGTCTCCCCCTCATCCACCTGGTCGCCCGGCTGGCCCTCACCCAATCCCACACTCACCCCCTCACCCATCCCCACAGTCACCCCCTCACCCACCTGACCGACCGGCTGGCTCTCACCCAATCCCACAGTCACCCCCTCATCCACCTGACCGACCAGCTGGCCCTCACTCGTCACCGCACTCACCCCCTCACCTGTCGCCACAGTCACCCCCTCACCCACCTGACCGACAGGCTGACCCTCACCCGTTGCCACACTTACCCCCTCAGCGACCGGTTGGGCTTCACCTATTGCCACACTCACCCCCTCACCCGTCCCTACTGTCACCCCCTCATCCACCTGACCGACCGGCTCGGCCTCACCCCCTCTCACACTCGCCCCCACATCCAGCGGAGCGGATGAGGGGTTCCTCTCCGGGCAACCCCTCGCCAGGTGTCCCTCTCCGCCGCAACGGAAACACCTCCCATCGTCCGATGTGGCGAACATGGCGTAGTCAAACCCCTCGATCTTCACCTTAATCACCAGGTGGAGGGCCTGGGGTTTGGTGAGGACCATGTGGAGTTGTCTCCTGTGAGACACCACGTGCCTCATTAAAGGCGACTTGCAGCCTGAGGACAGCTTTTTAAGCGGGGACACCACCTTCCCGTGTTTGACCAGCTCCTCCAGCAGCACTCCGTCAGGGACGAACGGCGGAACGTTCGCCACCGTCACCCTGACGGCCGGCACCGCGAGCGGAAGAACGGGCACGTGCGCCCCGCGGACCACCACGCCGCTCGCCACCACCTCGCGCGCCTTCTCCACACTATCTACAAAAATGACCACCGCGCGGTTCATCCACGCGGCGGACTTTACGCTCCCGTGCCCAACCAACCCCCCCACGGCCAGACCGCAGTCCTCCACGGAGCACGCGAAGCCCGGCGCGAGCTTCACGCCGTGCTTCCGCGTCAGCCCCGTGAGGTCCGACATGCCGACCGGCTACAAACGCAGACAAAAACACATAAAAAGAAAGAAAAGTCACACGTACACACCAACACGCATTCACCCCACAACGCACACCAGCAACCACGCCGAAAAATACACGAGATAACAGGTAGGAAACACATCCAAACAATTCACCTCACGCTCCGCACACTCAGCACTCCTTCCGCTCAGAGAGAGAGAGAGAGAGAGAGAGAGAGAGAGAGACACAGAGAGAGAGAGAGAGAGAGAGCGTTGTTATTCATGATTGGAGGAGCTGGGAGAAAACACCTTGTTTACACCTAAACAAACAAACCGAGTTCCTGATCCTGAATTGATTGAATTATCAAAATTTATCTGTCTATCACCTGAACACGATGGTTTTCTGTTTGGTTGGGGAAAGAAACATCACAGTTACTGTTTTTCCCTTAGTTGATATTTAATTTCATTCAGGATTCTCTTACTGATTTGTACCATTTTACATATTGTAAGCAGTGCACACATTTTGTGTTGTTGCTGGAAAGAAAGATGGATTCACTCCAATATGATTTTATCCAAAAGTTCATGGTCCATCTGCCAGCTGTTTAGATTCCAAATGTTCCTCACAGCACAACCAGGCCTCCTGCAGCACTAATGACAAAACTTAGTCTATAGTGACTAAAACCTTAGTGGAATAATTATAAGGCAGCCCAAATGTTGTGGTCTTCCCAGGGCACGTCTGTTTTATAACTATTATAGATACCAAAGTATGTATGTTAGGGATTCCTGGTTCTTAGAATCAATTAGTGTTTGGAAATTAAGAATTTATTTCTGATTGTATACATTTAATATGGCTAAGCCAGACAACATGCAACTTTCCCCGGATAAGTGTTCTAACTGTATTTGAATGATTATTACTTCCTGTGGAAAAAGCACATGACATGTCGGGCCTTGAGGTGCGTTTCAGAATGTCGGATTTTCCGATGTCCAGCGGGAAATGTACAACGTTACAGTGATCACGCAAAATATTGACAAGGGAACTGAATATTTCCCAACGTTGCGGTAGCGATAAACGCTGTAAATGCTGAAGGCTTTAACTAGTTACAGCCTGCTTATCGATGTGACCGACAAGGCGACCACAAGGCTGCGTGCTCATTATTTCCGAGGCCTCAAAAGTACACATAGAGCTTCTGTTACCAAGGAGACCGCTGCCGCACCACAGGGACGTTAACTTCGTGTGCGTGTTATAAAACTTACCAAGTGGACCACTTTATTCCACGTGAGCCAACGACAGGACCGGTAGCAGTTGAGTTAACGTTAACCTGTGTGAAGCGACCGCTAACTTCCTCTGGACGTTGGTTAGTTAGTTAGTTAGTTAGTTAGCAGCAGAAAGTCGCTGCGTGACAATTACGACGTCCGTTTGCGATTCATTGAGGCGTTCAAGGGCACCTCGAAAATATCAACACTTCTTAGCGTGTCACTTTTAATGTGTAATTTGCTTATTTTTAACCAGAGGAGAGTGTAAAAAAGACCCTGCGACAATATGTCCAGACCGCCTTATTTTGGAGCCAAAGCGGACAACAGGAGGTTGAGGAGGATCATCGCTGAAGATGTAGACTGGTCCCTCCATGTGGTGCCTTGTTTATCAAAGCTCTGCTTGCAAAGCATTGTGAGAAGCTTTGAGGGTCGGTTCCTGTTTTAGCACCATTGCCATACAACATCTCACACACTGACCTGTAAATAACGTTATACAAACTTGCCTGTTGCAGAAAAGCCCATATTTGAAGAACTTCCGCCTTTGGACAGAGTCTTTGTGCAGGAGAGACTGCCCACCTCCCTGCCTCTCCATGTGACGGCCAACTCTGTCAGCGACGGCGTCTTCTGGAAGCGGTGCTGCGAGCAGCGCTGGGACATTTGTGACCCCGCTGATTATGGCCACAGCTGGAAACGAATGTTCTTCGAGAGGCACGTGGAGAACATCATCGAGCTTTTCATCCCAGATGAAACTGAGCCAAGGGCAGTCCTGGAGATGGTGCCTCTTTGTAAGAACTATGTCAAGAGACTGGACATCTCCCAACTCCTGCCTCCTATCAAGGAGCCCGAGAAGAAGGAGGAGGAGGAATATGGTCCAGAGTTGGCCGGGCCGTCCATGGACCACTTCGACTTTAACATCCTGCTCAAAAAGCTGACGAAACTGGAAGAGCTTCATTTGGTGTACAGGGTGAAGCAATGCGGCATGAACTTTGAACGGACGATGTTTGAGATGACTGACAGAGATTGCGAGTCCCTCGCCGAGGCCCTCGTGTCCTGCAAGACTTTGAAGGTGAATATTGATCCTCACGGCTTTGTTTGTAAAGTAGAGAGTCTGAGTATCTGGAGCATGTTCGTTGTAACTCAGCGACGAAGCATCATTGTCCGTCCCTGACGTCACGAAAGAGGAAAAATTGTTGTTGGCACTACGCAAGCATTTGATTCATGCCCTATTTACATCAAAGAAGAGACCGCGTGGCTTCTGGCCGCAACCTCAATAAGTCACTTTTTGACACAAAGTTGTGTCACATTAGCTCACTACTGCACGACAACACTGAAGACATCTGTTAAAGCTGTTTTCACTTACTATGTTCCAACAACTAAAGAAAAGGGCCCACTATTACTAACTTACTAACAGAAAAGCAGCAAAATCCCACATTTCAGCAGCGTATCACTCATTTTGTGTGATATTTGACTTTTACAACTACACAATAATCAAAATAGTTGGCAATTCACTTTCAGGCGACTAATTAATCAATCAACAACTTTTATGGGTACTTTTGTTATATGCTTTATTTTAACATTATATAAATGATGCTTTCATGCTCATGGCGATTCACTTTTTTCTGCTACACTCAAAACACAATCTAATCTGCGTAGTGTTTTGTTCCCACAGCTTCTGAGGCTCCATCAAAGCAACATTGAGGATAAAAAGTGCCGGCGGCTGGTGAGAAACCTTCTGGACCACCCGTCCCTGACGGAGCTCGACTTGTCCCACAACGTGATCGGAGACAAAGGAGCCGCAGCCATCGGGAGGCTGCTGGCCAGGAATAAACTGGAGACCCTGAACATGTGCGACAACAACATCAGAGGCCCGGGAGCTGAAGCTATAGCTCGCGCCTTGTCCGTGAACTCCAGCCTCCTGTCACTCAACCTGCGTCTCAACCGCGTGGGAGATGGGGGGGGGCGGGCCATTGGTGAGGCCTTGCTGAACAACAGGACCCTGCTTCACCTGCACCTGGGGGCCAATGTGGTAACAGGGCCTTCTGCCGTCGCACTGTCGAAGGTTCTAGTTGAGAACGGCACCCTGAAGAGCATCAATCTCTCCTGCAACAACCTGGGCGTGGTACGTAAACCGCCGTCCTTACTGGCGGTGGCCGAGGGGAAATATCAGCACTAATATCGCAGGTTGAGTGAGTTTAGTGTCTGTGCAGACGTGTAGCACCAAGATGTGACAGACACACCGGCTCGAGAGCAAAAAGCTTTTCAATTATTCATGGAGACGTGTTTTTCCCCCCGTGAGGCGGATCGGATGATCCCGACTCTCCTACAGAGCAGAAACACGTTGTGCAAAACCACCAGTATCTGTGACCTCGGCCCGCTGTTCACAGAACACTCACACAGGGCAGTGTAGAGAGGTGGGCTTCTCCACGCTGCTGCCAGGGGCTTCATCGAGGTCATCAACACGCGACGAGCACAACGTGACGTGTTCACGGACGTGCATCACGAGCCGTCTTTCCAATTGCTCTCTCCCTCTGTGTGTGTGTGCGTGCGTGCGTGCGTGTGCGTGTGTGCGTGCGTGTGCGTGTGTGCGTGCGTGTGTGTGTGTGCGTGTGTGTGTGTGCAGGATGGAGGTAGAGCTCTGCAGGAGGCGATGTCTCATAACACCAGCGTGACAGAATGTGACATCCGCCTGACGCAGATTGACGAGCAGAGCGTCTCCTTCATCAACAAGGCGGTTTGGACCAACCAGAGACCAAGTAAACAACAACAACAACAACAAACAGCAAACCCGTCCGTTTAGCCACAGAGAGGGATTTTCTTTACAACAAATACAGCACAACGTTTCCTTTTCATAGTAAGTGTTGCTGCATTAAATCCTTTATCACATTAATCTGTCAGCTTTTAATTTTTAAGCTAATTTCGATGCTTTGGTTTATATTTCAGATAATCGGTGCAATAAAAACGCTACGATTTCACACACGTCTCCATCATCTGTTACAGCTTATTAACTTTAAATGAGACAATCACATGAGAATCACTTAATGAACAAGACAAATACGCGTTTGACACATTTTGATTCACGGCTTTGGTTTTAAGTCCTTATTTGACACGAAGGCAACGTTGTGTTGGAGTTGGAATACACACACATTTGTGCCCACGTGTCCATCCGGATGGATCACGTCTGGCCGATGCCCCGTCATGAGAAACGCTTAATGGGCTCATTTCAATCCCTTCTGTAATTTGGTTGCCCATTAAAATGCCTTTTAAACGCTTATATTCTCCACCACATTAACCAATAAAGGGTCAGTTTGACATTTTCGGGAAATACGCCTTTTCAGTTGGATGAAGCTCAGCACCACTGTGACACCTCGTGTTCTTCAGGTGAAACCAAATAGATGTTTGATCTCGTCACAAAACTCTCGAAGGACGTAAATAAATCGATGTGTCTGACAAGTTTAAAAACTACAAGACGTCTAACGTGCGTCATCGGTACCAGAAGTCGGGGGGCGAACATTCCCGCCAGCAGTCGGTCGTAAGCGTCAGTGAGCGAGTGAATTTACACGTGACTAAATTATAATGGACACAAACTACTTCTAATGTAGAGATGCAGGTGTTACTAAACTAACACTGTACACAATCTACGAGGTCGCACAACACTGAAGCGCTGACTCGGTTTGCTTTGTTAACAATGATGTATGTGTAATATCCTTCAGTGTACCTCAATTCATAAAGTGTTGGTGTACTAATGTAAACCAATTTACACGTTACACAGATCTTTATCTGCTGAGACGGTAGAGCGAGTAGTTACCTCGAGCTTAAAGACGGATTCATGAGAAGCATAAATCTGACTTTTTACTTGTTGTGTGTCACCTGCAACGTGAAGTCAGTACGTTACCCTCTCATTTAAAAGTCACTATTGCCCATCTGAGCCTAAAAACGTCTTTTCAAACTGGACGTTATGAGAAAGGAAGTGCTTGAGATGATGCTGCACACTGAATACTGTTCCCAGTTCTAGAGGCCTGCATGAATAACCAGAGAGCTACGTGCTAAAAAGCTGATGCAAAGATAGTCTGCAACTCCAAATCGAATATGGAATGTAGTGATTATGGATAATTGGTCACAATTTTACAGTAGAGGCTCATTATTGTGAAAAAAGAGTATGTGAACTAATACAAAATGTGCACCAACAAGATCCTGATATTTAATATTCACATTGTGATGTCGACAGTTTTATTCTTTCACTGCCGGTTTCATGAAATAAGGTCTAGTTTGTTCATAATCAGCTCTATTTCCACAGTTAGCATGAGCTAAAAGTTGCTTTTCTATAGGATAGTTTGAAAAGTTTTGCTCTGGGTTTCCATTTGACATTTATCGTCGTGCGTCGCCGCCAGTAAACTCAAACGAACCATGACTAAGATTCTGCACGTGCTCATTTGAATGGAAGAGTTCTCTTTCTGTTCTTTGAGTGACATTATTACGTGTGACACTATCAGCAGTGAGTCCAGGCCTCCTCCTCCTCCTCCTCCTCCTCCTCCTCCTCCTCCTCCCGCGTCATTGATCATGTGAGGCCTGTGTTATATCATGAGGAAGATCATCTGAAAACATCTTGGGCCTTATTTTTAAAACCGTATGTATTTTAATCAATGCATTTAAAAAGATGTGTTATTATGAAACGAGATAACTTAGTTAACTAACTAGTTATGACAGTTCCTGCTCGTCAGTCACAGTTCATCACAGGCTCTTAAATTAGGAGGCTGAGTAGAAATGAATATTAGACTAAAAGCATCGTTCAGATTTGAATGTAGTTGAGTTGACGCTTCTCTATTAATTCCATGGTGGTGTTTATTACTACATGTAGTTTGCAACATACAAACTGTCATTTATAGTAAGTAACAGTTTGATTCAGTTTTAGGTTCTTGTGTCCTTCGCTCTCTTGTACTAAATTATTCACTGGCTGTGTCGCTATATTTAGAAAGCCAGGAAGTATAATGTCACTGCAGCCAAGCTGATACTTCATCATCTGCCTCAGATTATTATTCTAACTATGGAAATGCTTCCTTCTTAAATAGATTTTCATTGGCATTGACTTCGAATGCAAAGATTTTAATCAGCCAGTAAACAAATATTATACATGTAGATGTTTATATTCTAATGAACTGGGCTATAAAACGTGTGTTCTGTTGGAGTCTGATACTGCTGCTTTTCTCTCATTATTCTCAATGATGTGTGAGCGAATCACTTTCTTATCATAACGTTAATCTTAATTTCTCATTCAGACGTCCGTTAACTGACGTATTCATTTCATTTCGTGGGAATTTCTAACGTCCGAAACACATATTAGGCTCCAAATACGAGAATGTGTCCCTCGTCTGCTTGTCCGTGGCTGAGAAGTACAAACGCGAGGCAGTAACTCGGTAACTTGACTCTTCCCTTATTGGTGCTGGAGGAAACTACGTCACTTTTTGTCAATTCTGTCTTTTACAGCCGCATAGTGTTCAATCAACAGTCTCCCTCCCAGATATCCCGTTGCTTGCTGCAGTATCTGCAGAGCGCTGTCCCGTAGCCGCGGGTCACAGAGGAGTCTCCACGCGGGACCCGTTTCGGTGCAGCGAGCGGTGGTCGTGGTTCTGGCAGCCCTCGTCGCGGTGTACAATGAGCACCGGGAAGCACAGAGCGTCCCGGTAGGCCGGCGGGTCCTCCTCGCCTGTCTGCGGCCCACCCGACAGACGGTGCGAGCTCTCCGTGGGGGGGCAGGGCCGCTCGCTCAGGCTCCCGCCGCTCCGCCACAGGCAGCTCCGCCCGGACCCGTACAGGCCGCCCAGCGAGAAGCGGCTGGCGCTGAAGGGACGCGGGGGCTCCCCGCGTTGCAGATGCTGAGGGCGCTGCGAGAGAAGATGGAGAGCTGCTGATGGCGCGGTGGCAGCGCCGGCAGTCCTGCCTGTAGCCGCCGTAGCCGCCACACGCCGAGTAGTTGTTACAGCTTCCCGACAGCCGGGTCCGGTCCATGAGGACGGCCTCCGAGTAGCTGGGCACCAGCCGCTGGTTGGAGCGGATGTGCCACTCCAGCTCCGTGCTGTCGATGGTGTTGACCCGCGGGACGCGTCTGCAGCGCGGCCGCTCCTCAGACGGGCTCACCGGCACGTAGTCAAAGCCGAACAGCTTCTCCACGTGGTAGTGCACACAGGCGGTGTGGTACTCCGTCAGCACCCGCAGAGGCCAGGAGACGGTGAAGGCCGCCGCCACCCAGAAGGAGGAGTTGGCCGCGTACCAGGGAAGGCGGTTGGGATCACAAAAGGCGACCATGTGCTCCTTAAAGTCGACGTCCTTCAGGTGCATCCCCTCGCGTGCCTCCATGTAGTCATCCAGCCCCTCGTTCTCCGTGAAGAACCTGGCCCGCTGGCTCAGGTAAGAGTTTTCCGACTCCACGTTGGCAAAGCTGAAGCATTTGGTGAACCTCAGTTTGGTGATGGCGAAGTCCTCGAGACCCGACAGGCACTTTGCGATGTCCTTAACCCCACAGTCCCCGTAATCAAACTCCGCCTCGGCCACGTGGGTGTTGACTCGCTCGTGGTAGACCTGCGTGGTGGTGTAGGCGTCCCCGTTGCGGTAGCGCGTCACCTGCCGCGTCCTCCTAATGTAGTGGTAGCTAATGGCCTTCCACCAGATGCACGGCGTCGCCTGCTGCATCCGCTGGATGCGCTCCGTCACGCTGCCGACGTCCACCTTGCACTGCAGCTCATTCCGGGTGTAGCAGTGCCAACACTCCACCAGGTAGACCACGTAGAGCATGACCAGGAAGGCCAAAGGGATGTAGATGTAGCCCTGGGAGCAGGGACTGTCGTGGTACATCATGGACCTTCCCTTGTAAGCGATGTCGAAGGAGAGGCGCGTGACCTTGGTCAGCTGGCACCAGGCCGTGACCCCGACGCAGCCGTACATCAGCAGGGACACAAGCAGGCATTTCCAGTGGGTCTCCTGACACAAGGACTTGGTCAAGGACTGCTTCTGGGGCCGCTGCTACAAAGCGAGATGAGAAGACAGCAAAGAGTCGGTGAAACGGTTTCTATTCCTCCCTACAAGTTCAAGTACATTGGTGTGTACTTACAATGTCAATAAGTCGGTGCTTGGATAAGGCTAGAAAATTTTTTAAACGTGGTGGCTTGTGCTTTTTAAATATTTATGGACATATTCTGCGTGGTAAGTGCTTTGGCATAGTTTATGCATGAGCCGATTCCGCCTGCCTTGGTCTGTGCTTGTTATCATCAAATGCTGTTTTAGTCAAATTCAGGAAGAAATGCCTGAATAATGGAGGAGCAGCGTGTTAAGAACATGTGTTGATGTCAGTAGTGTGCTGAGCTTCTTTTAGACTGCTGCGTGGGTGAGCATGTGGCAGTAGTGAAATACTTTGGATGCATATTCGAGATTGGGAAAGAAATACCACATTTTCTGTCAAGCTAGCCAGAATAAAAGGCGGCAGTTTGACTCTGCAGCACAAAGCTGGTGCCTTCCTTCATCTCCAGCGCCTGCATCAAGAGCTGGTCCCACCTTTTGAGAAGCCTGCCCACACAAACCAGGCCGAGATTCAAATTCCCCAGGGAGGGTGAATTATAACAAAATCCATTCAAATAATCTGCATTAAAGTGAATCAGCTAAAGATACGACCTCCTTCTCCATCAGCCTCTGCAAACGTGTGACCACAGCAACCGGCGTCACTGCATTGATGTATTGAATTCTATAAGTCAGCTGTGGGCTCTACGCCAAACTCGCCAATATATGAAACTAATATAAAACTCTTGGAACGGCAGCGATACAAATTCGCAGTAAATGTAAATGTTAATCTCACACAGTTCAATTAGCCACCATTTTCCCCCCGTACAAAAAGTATAATACCGGAGGTAATAAGCTTAAAGAACAGTGAGTTGGACACTGACCTCAAAGGTCAATTTTCAATTAAAAACTCCCTGCTTGACGGAGCTGTTGATTTGTCCTGTCGATGGCAGAGAAGGAAGGAAGTGACTCAGCGACACAGAGGTGTTGACAGGTTGAGACTTTAGACGCAGACATTCCTGTGGTTTGTTTGCATGAGAGACCTTTAATTGGAAATACCCCAGACCTTTGTATCGCAGGGACGCCCATAGAAAGCCCCGATTTGTCGAATGAGAAAGAACATCAACATCGTGATTGTTGCTTCTGCAGGAAGGTTAAAATCCATAAAGGTCTGTTGTGAAACGCGATCAATATTCCAGGAGACAAACGGTTGAGGCGGCGCGTGCGTGCAGGACCGGAGGAGCTTCACAGTTCACGAGTTCACCGTGGAGCCTTTAACTCAGGGCCACGTTCTCCTGACATAATAAGACCAGCGGGGTTATATAAAAGTCCTCTTGTGTAACGGATATGTAACCTACCCAACATGTCTGAAGAGCAAGTTGCAGTCAATGCTAAAGGGAAAATGTGAATGTTTTGCTCATGTAAGATAATAATAAATTAGGATGGATGGAAATTCATTGGAGTGCCTCTTATAATGAAGTCAACACAATCTGATGGTAATAATACAGAATATCCCTGTAAAGATGGCCGATGTTTAAACTCAAACAAGATGTTGTCTTTAAAAGTACAAAACCAGTTTGTTCCTGAAGTTTTATGGACAAATAACTGTGGACACTTGTGAATAAATTGGCTAAATATAAATGGTCATATTCTCTCAACAGCGCCAGTTAGAATAACTATTTGAACCCCAAACCCCCAATTTGGAAACTTGTCTGCATCCACACACGCTCACGCGCGCTCGTGCGCGCTTGGACGCACAGATTCATCTGTGAACTCCAGATAATTAGGATCCGTTTATTGCCGCCATGCATTTGGATTCTTTAAACTGGCCTTAACGTGTCAACCGGCGCGTCCTCACCTCCTCCCGGGGACCGTCCCGCTCCTCTTCGGGGACCGCGGTGCTGCTGCTCTCACCGGCCGTCGCGGCGGATGCCGCAGGGGACATGATGATGATGATGGTGACAGCGGCGCAACGGGAGACCGGCTCATGGGTCTCCTGGTGGGACGGAGGGTTTCCAAATCGGGGCGATACATAAAGACAGCGCGAATTCCCTCAGTGCGTCACCCACGAGAAACCCAAGCAGACCCGCTCCGAGCGCGCATCGCCGCGGCGGGGGGACAGGCGGGGAGACGTCGCCTGGTGATCCGGTCCCTGCGCAGACTCCCGCCGCCCTGAACGCTGCGAGGAAACGGCGGTCGGCCCCTCTCTCTGCGCGGCGGGGGGTCCACAGCAGACAGGCAGAATGCGGAGGCACGTGGGAGCTGCCCGCGCGGCACCACGACGTAAACAACGCACACGACTCCGCGCCAGCAAATCACAACACACACACACACACACACACACACACACACACACACACACACACACACAGAGGCGGGGCTGCAGAGAGGGGGGCCCGACCCCCCCGCATACCATTAACGGGCAATGGGAATGCACCGGTTATGATATTAGTCATATTGATAATAAGGGAATCCTCTTTGAGGATAAAGCAGGTTTTTAAAGTTGCATCTCGCAGAAATAAGCAGCTAAAATAAGCTTTAAATGTAAAACAACACATTCAACCCCACAGAACATTTTTAAAATGTTCATTAAGATAAATTACATAATTGTAAGCACACAGTCATTTACATTGAGCCTGAAGTCCATTTTAAAGCACTGCTGACATTAAAATATTTGGTCTATGCATTGGTTTACTGTTTTACTTGAAGTGATATTTTTGATGGAGATTTCCCTTCTTTCTCATTCAACGAGTTCATAATTCTTCTCATTGTTCACATAAACATGTTATTGAAAGAGCGGATCTTTTTCACACCGCCAGAACAACAGCATCCTCTTTGAGTTCCTCTGAACAAACGTATTATGATTATTGGATCAACAGAAAAATAAATAAATAAATAAATAAGTGAAATAGAAGTAGGGACAAGAATATCTGAAATAATATTCTAGATTGCTGCCATTTCTGTTTCTCAGCACTTTTTATGCAGGAACCCTTTAGACTGCTGCACAATACCTTGTTTATAGCACACAGAGTTGACATCGGACTGTAGTCCGGCATGGACTTGAATGAGTAAACATCACAATAGATAACACAGAAACAGATGGCCGTCGTGGGCAGCAGTAAAGGTATTTTCCCGACAGTCAGTGTTGTTTTATAGATTATATTATGATGAATCTGGCCCTTAACATTAGTGAGTCCTCTGGCAAAACCACAAAAAGGAATTTCAGGACAAAGGAGGCCAAAACTGATGTCTGTGTTACTCCTGAACCTTTTGGAGGTAAAAAACTGCAAGACAGAATAAATGGGACAAATATGAATAGATACATTCAAATAAATTGTACGTTTGTTCTAAGATGTATGTAAACTGACTAATCCCTTGAATATGGTTTACTGTGGTTCCATGCCTGCCACAGTAAAGGACCTTAGGAATATTCTATACACCATTTAATGGTCATAATTCAGGGGTTCAAAACATGTACTGTTGACTTTTGTGCGTATTTGCCACTAAAGGACCATCAGCAAGTTTTAGTTCTTTAACGTATAATATTGCACAACAGTTTCGCTCATAAATACATGTAACGTATATCTTGAAGAAAAGAATGAAATACAAAATAACTTGCTACATGACCGGCGATCAATAAAAGCAGATACAGCTTTTTAAAATATACCTTTATTTTGAAAAATTCCGCTTTTACTTTTGCGTGTCGCCTCGTGACGCTCTTCCGGTTGGAGTTGCGCGTGGTTATATGCGTCTGCTCGGGGATTCCCCCGCCTGGCTCGAGCAGCTCGCGGCGCTGTTACCGGATATCGCGACGTCGAGCGGCCGCTTCTGCCGGTTTCAGCTCGATTCGAAGCCTCGTTTTACGGCGCGCGGAGCCTCTCGAACACGTTTAGAAATAACACCAAGCGGTCGGTCGGAAGCGGAGCCGCCGCGAGGGAGGGAGCGAGCCTCCCGGCCGCGAGGGAGCGAGCCTCCCGGGGAGTTGGCATGAGACGAGGCGGCGCGTTCCTCTGCTTTCACAGCGCGGCGGGGGTTTCCTCGGGTGTCGGCAGGCTGTCCTCGGAGGTCCGGTCGCATCACTGAGAACCGAGCGGGCGACAACACCACCCTCCCCCTTCCCTCCTCCCACCCCACCACCCCGGTAGTGGCCCTCGAAGCCCCGCGGAGGGAGGGAGGGGGGGAGGAGGAGGAGGAGGGAGCGTGGGGAGTGAAGGAGATCCAGAAATCCAGCGACGCCACCGCCGCCATGGCGAGCGACGACCGCCGCAAGGATGAGCCGCTGGAGGACGGCCGCGCGGACTCCGGCGTCGACTCGTACCGCTCCGCGCTGAGGTCGGAGGAGCCCCGGGAGCCGAGCGCCGACTTCAGCGGGCCGAGGGACAAGTTCACCGCCGTGGAGGAGCGCCTGGACTCCGCCTACGGCTCCTCGTCCCTCACGGCCGAGAGCCTCTCGGAGATCGTGGGGGGCTGCACGCTGGAGGAGCCGGCGCGCGGCTCCGAGCTCTCCGACCGGGAGGAGAACTTGCTCACAACCATCACAGAAGATGGAGACACGTACGTTTTCCTGTGTTTGTTTCACTGTTTTACCCTCTCGGTCGGTGCACCAGCGCGGCTCTGCAGAGCCCGTCCGGCTGCTTTATGGCAATATATTTAATATGATCTCCTCGTTTCTTTAACATTAGTCATTAGTGCTGCAACTTTTTTTAATCTATAGAAGGACAGAAGAAAGTTCTCAAAGTCACATAGGACACGTTCAAATGTCTTGTGTTATCAGACAAACGTCCCACAGCAGTTCTGTAAGTTTGGGTGAAATATATATGTTCTATATTGCTTTGAAATGACACCCTGCTGGTTAAGTTCCTGTTGTTCCAGCTTATTCTGCTGGACATGTATGAGGTGACTGAAACACCCGTTAATGGAAGTCAACGGAGCACTAACCTCACACACAGGCACAGGTCTCTGTGCATACTGGCTTTGTGGGGGATTTCATCGGGTAACTGCGCATTTTGTGCTGAACTTTGTCCTCGTCATGAATGTGGACGGACTTCTAAGTGAGGAAACCAGAAGTGAAACAGAAAGGCCTGGACTTCCCCTCTCGGCGCTCACAGGCCCTGTGCCTTTTCATCCAAGAAACCCGTTGATCAGGCTGGGACACACCGTGCACCCAATCCCACAATGCACTGCGGCCGCCGCATGTTTCTGGCGTGACCCCCGCTGGCCTTGTGTTGCCAAGTGGTCCGTGTTTTGGGATGGAAGCGGGCGATGACTCCTGCAGCCCGCTGTGACTCGGCCTCGTCGCTGCAGAGGTGTTGTTGCGTCTCTGACCTCTTTTCGTTTCCGCTCGCTGGTTGTTGGTGCCACACACGGTTTCATTCTCACACCCGAGACTGTCGATACCTGGGCGGGAAGAAAAAACACCTGAAACACGCCACGCTGCTGCTGAGAGAGGATTGTGCAAACGTAGATTTTTCCCCTGTGGGTTTTTATCAACATTTCTTTTAGGTTTTATTCATTCGAGTCATACTTGAACCAGGAAGTTCCTTTTCACACACACAGGGCTGTTTGGTAGATCTATTATCCTGCAGGTGTTTAAATCTGTCGGTGGTGACTGATTCAGCTTCACGCACCGCGATACCTCACCATCACACACCGCTATCGGCATGAATGATTCATGGATTCACTTCAGCTTTCAGTTTAGTTAGTTGGAAATCACATGTCTTTGTCGTGTTTTTAGAAAAAACTCAGACGCACAAAAATGTAATTCTATGTTTTGCACTCACTGCTTGAGTTCTATTTGGGCCTAATCATCATGTTCATGTCATGCTTTTGATTGATTGATGAGCTCTTTAATGTATAAAGCACCACACGCTCAATGATTTAGTCCATCAAACTTTAAACGGATTTCTGACTGAAGGGAGCAGATGATGCATTTTACACTTCACGCTTCGCTAAAATACCAAAACACCAGAAATGCGTTTCATCGTTGGGCGTCCAGCCCGACACGTAAAGCAACCCGAGCGCGCCTCTGGTTTCAGCCCGTACGGCTCTTTGTATTGTTCTAGTTGGGTCTAAATTAAGCACTAATGCTGTGTGCCGTTTCCTGCTTTCTGCACGCATTTGTTTTCTACAACCTCCCACTCAGAGTTTGAGGTTAGCGTCTCTCTTAAAAAAAACAACTTACGTCAAGTAAAGCGCATGCATGCAGATACCGACGGGTGCTTTTAAGTTGCCCCTTTTTCCTTTGACGTCTCTTCTGTTGAAGAAGTGAAAATTCTCGTATTGCTCAACAGCCGACTACCCCAACGCCATTTAGCCCACTGGGTGTCACATTTCGAGGTAGCGTCTTGAGATGAATACTGAGGAAAATTGTGAGGCAATTTTCTCCGTCTCTTGAGATGTGTTTTTTTTTCCGCTGTGACTCCACTACTGCTTTTTGTGGGGGACGATGGCTCACTGCGAGATCGCTGAGGTCTGCTAGTTTTCTGCAATCGTGACTGATGAGGCGGTTTGTGTCCCCTTTGCCTCCCTGTAGGATCCTGCACTTGGCGATCATCCACGAGGACCGATTCATTGCTCACCAGTTGATGCAGCTTTTCCCACAAGACGTGCTGAACATCCAGAACAACTTGTACCAGGTAGGTCTTCTCTTCTACTCGAGCCCACTGCAGCTCCTAGTGGACTCTTTGGATGCAGGGGGGGGGGCTCGCTCACTGTCTCGTGTCTCGATTGTGGAAACGGTGGCATTATTTATACCTCGGTAGCTGCAGAGAACCGTTGTTCCTCTTTATTTGCAGTCCGTCCCCTCAAGGACGCGTCTGGGTGGTTCCAGTTTGAACTCATGAGGGACTTTGACTGGAAACTCCCCTCCTCTTCCTCCTGTAGAGGCGGCACCACAGAGCGCTGTGGGGTTTATCCCAGTGTGCACGGGGGGGGGGGCATTGTTCACGGTCCTTCACGGTGTCCGACAGGACCACCGTCTGTCTGGTTGTGTAGAGACAAGAAGAAAAGACTGAACGATCAGAAGGAAACACCTGAAGTCGAAGCATTTCGGTTGTCTAATTTCCTCTGGGGCGTCGCTTTAAGACTCACATTTGGACACATTGCCAGGACAAAATCTTCTTAATCCCGTTGGGTTTTTAAAAGAAAGTCCTTCGCCTAAATTGTTTGCATATTGTTTAGTAAAAAAGAAAGTTTCACAGCTGCACTTCAGTCCATCTGATGATGAATTCTACTGAAGCGATGAGGCCGCTCGCGTTCTACTCCCCATTAGACCAGAATACTGAGCGCTGCCATAATGAAAACGTGCAGCTTCATTTCATGGAAACCGGAGAGGAGCAAGTTCTGTTTCAAGAGGCATTCTGGGAAAAGTTGAACGACATAAACCACAAAGAAACGCCAACTGATAAAGTCTGCAACTCTTATTCTGGTTTTGAAATTGTAAAATAATCTTTGGTTCAAGCATCGATTATGATAAACCTCCAGGGACTTGCTGGTTCGATCGCGTTACCTTTGTCTTCTGGTTCCCTCAGAGCCCTCTGCATCTGGCCACCTACCTGAACCTTGTCGACGTGGTGAAGGGCCTGGTGGAGAAGGGGGCCAGTTTGGAGCTGCAGGACCAGGAGGGCAACACGGCGCTCCACGTGGCCTGCCAGCACGGGCAGACCGAGTGCGCCGGCGAAATGACCAGAGAGGCTTCGCCCAGCAAACTGGCCCCGGTCCTGGAGACCCAGAACTGGAGAGGTGAGGAGTTTCTATGTGTCTGAATCTCACGCTCTTCGGATCAGCCGGGGAGGTGCAGCACTATTTACCGCTCCGTTTGAAAGGGTTTGTCCTTGCAGGTCTTGCCTGTCTTCACTTGGCTGCACTCCACAGGCAGCATCACATCATGAAGCTCCTGGTGAACAAGGGAGCAGACCTGAATGTCCAGGTTAGTCTGTGGGGGGGCGATGGTGGCACGTCGAGTAGAGAGGGAGCAAGGTTGGCGGTTCGAGTCCCGGCTGCTCCATGTCAAAGTGTCCCTGAGCGAGACACCTGACCACTAGCTGCAAAAATGTAAAACGCCGTGTGTTACTAATGTAATGTAACTAAATGACCCGTGATGATTGAACTACATCAAATGGTTTCTTATGGTTTTCAATTAGACATTAAAGTATATTTTATCTCACACAATAGAAATGAGAAGCTTTCTGTTATTCACGTCCTTTGGTGTGAAATCGGCTTCAGATTGTCCCCGTAGACTTCGACCCTGACTTGTCCCTCATGAACAAAAAGCCGTTTACGGTTGTCTCCGTGTTTCTGCGGCGCGTCAGTATTTCTAATCCCACGTATCTCTTTTCTAACGGTTTTCTTCTCCTTAAGTCTGCGTCACCGGTGCAACGCTGACCGTGATACGAGCCGCCGGCTTTACGGGGACATAATTAGATTGGAGATGTGATTAACTTTCTATTGATGGAAGGGAACACGGGAGTCACTCCTGACAGCCACCCCAGACCTTCCTCTCCCGTTAAACCCCCGCGGTGCCTCACGCGCTGCTCGTTTCAATGATTACTTACTACGTTGTTTCCTCCAAATGAAGATAAACGCGTCCATACGTTCAAACCAAGTCAAATATCAACAAAAAATGTAATCGTCGCCTTCGTGTAACTCTGGAACTTTCCACCTACGCGTCTCGCAGGAAGGTACGAGCGGAAAAACAGCCCTTCATCTCGCCGCCGAGCTGCACGACGTGGCGTCCGTGAAGCTGCTGCTCAGCAGGGGAGCCAACGTGGACGCCGCCATGTTTAACGGCTGCACGCCGTTGCATCTGGCAGTGGGGAGACAGGACGCCGCCATCGCCCACCTCCTCTGCCAGTCGGGCGCCGACACCATGCTGCGGAACATGGAGGACGAAACGGCGCTGGATCTTGCCGACGGCAACGATGACGTGAGTTCTTGTGATCGACGGTTTCAGGAACATCAGCAAACTGGACCAACCGGCGTAGATCAGTAGATCAGTTCCTCCACTGGAGAAACGAGCAGACAAAGAACGTGGGCCTCCGCAGAGTTTAATGGATCCTTCATATGAAGTTAGAGTTCAACGGGATTCATTCTCACCTTTGCTGCCGTGTCTTCCAGTGCAGAGCTTTCGTGCTGTGTGTCATTCTGAGGAAGCCTCAGTAAAATGGGACTTTTTGTGTCCTTGTCTTTCAGATCTTGGCTCTATTTCCTTTTGATGACATCCAGATCTCCGGGAGGTCGGTGGTCAGTGTGAAGTTTTGAGCCGGATCAAAAGGCCTAATAACAATGTTGACATTTTCTCGAGCTTCCCTGTAGTCGAAACCTTTTGATTTAAAAAAAGAAAAAAGCATAAAATAAAGCAAACCTGCATTTGTAGCCCATGATTTGATTTGTATTAATCTATTATGTAGACTAACCCAATATGAGGTTTGAGGTATTTCAGGTTTATAAACCTCTGACAAAGCGTGGTTTTCTCATCTTTCTGCTTGTTTCCTCGTGTCCACCAGCTGAGGGTTTGCCACTTGATGTTTTGAAGCGGTTTTCTCTATTTATCTCATCGAGCCTTTAGTCTGCAACAACTATTAATTTACTTTGGTGTGTAATTACATTGCTGTGTTTAGTTAATATAAGTAGTTTGTTTATTTTGTAATAAAAAGAGGAGGGAAAAACTCGCTGTATATTGTACTTTTCTTCTGGGTAGACGGGAGTTTGGAAACATTATGTGCTGGTTTAGAAGCATCAGTGATGTTTGTGGCATCTATACAACTATATACATCTATATACTATACATCTAATAAAAAAAACACAATCTCCAACTTGTGTGCTGCGCCAGTAGGAGCAAGTTCATAGAAAAACGTTCATCTGATGCCATTTCAGAGAAAGGGGTTGTAATCAAACAAGCTTTGCAATCATTTTTAAGCGCATTTGTACAAATCTGTGTCGCTGCTTTTGCGTTGTTGAATTGGACCATTGAATGTAGAGTAAATCACGGGTCCTGATGACGGAGTTCTGCTCTGTTTCCTGTCAGGTGAATCTTTTGTTTGGCTTCTTCCTCATGGCTCCAATGACACAATGACCGAGGAGCGGCTGGAAATTCCGCTGTGTCTCGTAGGCGCATTCCAACACGGCCGCTGGCTCGCAGGTGTTTTACGCTTTTATCTGCGGCAGAAATGAGTTCATTCGTTCGCTGGTAAACGGTGCTGTGAGGCTTTGATTTGTGTGTAGAAACACAACTTATTATGGTAACATCTTCTACACCAGAGTTGTGAAACTATAACTACTTCTCCATTTAGCTTATCGCCTGAAGCTATTTGTGTTAGAAATAAAATCTACAATAGGTAACGCTGGTTAGTATGACATTTTCAGTTACCATTCGATACTAATGCCTGTTTGCCTTTCCTATGAATGCGCAAAGTATTTGCTTTAGCAATGCATTTCACATCGAATCAAACGCTGCTTTTACTAATGATGGAAATAACATTTTCAATTAAACTAAAATGTCACATTGTGAAGGTGACGGATGTAAACACAAAAGTATCTAAGGGACAGATTCATTCAAGTATATGTGTCATATTATAGCAGTGGTGGGAGAAGGAAGTAAAGTGTAAAATTAACTCTACAAGCAAAAGTCCTGCCTTGGCTTCTTCCATAGCTGACATTGTGAAAGGTCACATGTGTAAATAACTATAATGTGATCCGCTTTGAAGAGGCAATTCTAGGCGCCTACTCAGCGGCTTCGCTTACTTTAATGAACAGGGCCATGACCAACAACACGGTGTCCGCTCCACCTGGGACCTCACTGCTGTGTCTGCATTTAGAAAAACAAAATCATGTAAAATTATTTATGTAAATATTAAATGAGTATTCAAAGTAATCATACTTATTATGCAGAGTAAACAGTTTCATTTATCCCTTGTGTCATTATCTTAATATTAATCTGTGCATTTTAATGTTATTTTAACTACCTAATTTATTGCTTCTAACTTTAACAACGAATAAATGGAGTTGACTTGTGTTGGTCCTTCAAGTATAAAAACCCAAACGTTGCTGTTTGTGCTACAAGTGTTCCTTGAGTTTTGACCTTTGCTTTAATACTTAATACACTTTCAAATAGTTTTCTCATTTCTGTCACTGCTTGAAAGCTTTTGATTTCACCGTCTGAGGAGCAAAAGAAGGACGCAGAGGTTAAAAAATCTAACTAGTATGGATTTCTCTGATTTCTTGTCTGTTTTTTGAAGGGGATGGGTGAGGTCTGTTTATATAGTGTACAGTATTTTTGACTCGCAATACCTGCATGAAAGGTAAAAAGTAGTAAAAATAAAAGAAGCTAAAAAATAAAATAAAATACTTTCGCCTTGCAATAACCCCTCCGCGCCTGCAGGGGTCGCCGGTGTCGGCGCTGTTCTCCATCTCCGGCACCGCCGCCTCCCCTGTGGAGCAAAGAGGAAGAGAGCTTTTCCTGCTCCACTGGACCAACCGGAACCGACACCTCGGCCATTGAGGAGGACAAGTTGAAGACGTCGGTAGCTGAAGGCGGCTGGACCGAAAGAAGACAAGCTGTTGTTTGGTCGGCGGCCGGTTTCATGCTCCGGCTCAGCGGACACCTTTGATTCCGTCGGCGTGTGAGCGGCGTCGAGGCCGCGGACAATGCCGTCGATTTCACGGAGGTAAATGTGATGATGATGAGCGACGCGCGGGGCCGATGGGTGAATTGTGACGGCGAACCGTTATTTTTTACTCACTCGTACGTGACTTTAACGGGGAGCGTATTTCTGAAGTCTGCGAACAAGCGACTACCGGTAACTAACTAACGCGACGAGCACCGGTAACTAACGCGATGACCACCGGTAACTAACGCGATGACCACCGGTAACTAACGCGATGACCACCGGTAACTAACGCGATGACCACCGGTAACTAACTAACGCGACGAGCACCGGTAACTACCACGACGAGCACCGGTAACTAACTAACGCGACGAGCACCGGTAACTAACTAACGCGACGTCAATAGCCGCCCTCATAAATTGGCTTCATATTTCTGCTGCTGACGTGACTTTTGTTACTTGATACGCGTATAAACGGGTTATTCAGTGTAATGGAGGCTCGGGGGGACCGGCTGTAGTCCTGTACGGAGGCTCGGGGGGACCGGCTGTAGTCCTGTATGGAGGCTCGGGGGGACCGGCTGTAGTCCTGTATGGAGGCTCGGGGGGACCGGCTGTAGTCCTGTACGGAGGCTCGGGGGGACCGGCTGTAGTCCTGTACGGAGGCTCGGGGGGACCGGCTGTAGTCCTGTATGGAGGCTCGGGGGGACCGGCTGTAGTCCTGTATGGAGGCTCGGGGGGACCGGCTGTAGTCCTGTATGGAGGCTCGGGGGGACCGGCTGTAGTCCTGTATGGAGGCTCGGGGGGACCGGCTGTAGTCCTGTATGGAGGCTCGGGGGGACCGGCTGTAGTCCTGTATGGAGGCTCGGGGGGACCGGCTGTAGTCCTGTATGGAGGCTCGGGGGGGACCGGCTGTAGTCCTGTATGGAGGCTCGGGGGGGACCGGCTGTAGTCCTGTATGGAGGCTCGGGGGGGACGGCTGTAGTCCTGTATGGAGGCTCAGGGGGACCGGCTGTAGTCCTGTATGCAAGATTGGGGGACCATAAGTAGTCCTGGATGGGGGCTCGGGGGACCGGCTGTAGTCCTGTACGGGGGCTCGGGGGACCGGCTGTAGGTGTGTTGTCCCGTGTGCTGGTGGTGGGTTTGCTCGCTGCATTCCTCCATGTAATGAGCTGCTTGTTCGGGGCCGAGCTTCTCTCCCTCCCGGCAGTGGACCACCGGCTGGTTGGGCCCCGGCAGACCCCCTCACAAAGAGGCTCTGTTTTGATTCAGGCCCACAGGCCCCCCAGGAGGAGGCCCGGCCTCACTCCCTTCCAGTGCCACGACAGCAAGGAGCACTTTTCTCCTGGAAAAGGTTTTTTTTATTACATTACATTACATGTCATTTAGCTGACGCTTTTATCCAAAGCGACGTACAATAAGTGCATTCAACCATAGGGTACAAACTCAGGAGAACAAGAAACAAGAAAGTGAAATTTCCTCAAATAAGCCAGTTTACAATTTGCTATAGATGAGTGACGTCACAAGTACAATTTAAGTGCTACACTTTGTTAGTCTTTAGTCGAGGTAGAGTCTGAAGAGGTGTGTCTTTAGTCTGAAGATGTGAAGGCTCTCTGCGGTCCTGATGTCTTCAGAGAGCGCGTTCCACCATTTCGGCGCAAGGACAGCGAAGAGTCGAGACCTAGTCGAGTGTTTTGCTCTCAGTGAGCGAGGGACGAGTAGTTTTGCAGATGCAGAGCGGAGAGTGCGGGTTGGGATGTAGGGTTTGACCATGTCCTGGATGTAAGCTGGACCCGATCCATTCACAGCATGGTACGTGAGCACCAATGTTTAGAACTGGATGCGGGCGGCCACCGGTAGCCAGTGAAGAGAGCGGAGGAGGGGAGGAGTGTGGGAGAATTTCGGAAGGTTAAAGACCAGTGGAGCTGCTGCATTCTGGATGAGCTGCAGAGGTCGAATGGCGGTGGCAGGGAGACCTGCCAGGAGGGAGTTGCAGTAGTCCAGGCGGGAGATGACAAGAGCCTGAATCAGTACCTGCGCTGCCTTCTTATCCAGTTATTCGATTAAATATCTCGTCCCGTCCATCCGATCCATCACGCCTGGTTTAATACGCGATCACGTCGTGTGTGTGAAAGCCGCTGGGAAAGAAGCTGCGCTGCAAATCACGTTTGAGACATTTGAGAACACGTGGATAGATTCAGATTTGACTCTAAAAATACAACCATTCAAATAAGATGTAAACCGTCCAGCATCATAGAATGAAAAGTTCCACGTGTGTGTGTGTGTGTGTGTGTGTGTGTGTGTGTGTGTGTGTGTGTGTGTGTGTGTGTGTGTGTGTGTGTGTGTGTGTGTGTGTGTGTGTGTGTGTGTGTGTGTGTGTCCATATGAGACTCTTATCACCACTAACATTGTTTTATTGATTGATTGATCATTACTGTGTTCACAATGTGGTCTGACTGACTCTCTTATTGTCCCGTCCTGTAGGGTTCTCCCTGCATTTGTGTGTCTCCTCATCCCTCCCATGGTGGCTGCTGAGGAGTTGTCACTACTGGACGGCTGGCATGATGTTTGGCTCCTCCGCTTCCTTGTCAACATCCTGGGATACTCCACCATCATCATCCCGGGATACTTCCTCATCAGCTACTTCAAGCGGACCAATTACTTAGAAAAAGGTAGGGGCCTGTTGATTGGACGACGCCTTTGTCGGTCCTCCTCCACTTGAAGTTGATCCGCGTCGCGTCTTCGTGTGGCCGTTGTCTTTCAGGTAACGGGATCTGTTTCCCGCTCATCAAGACCTGCGTGTTCGGCAGTGAGGCCAAAGCGGGTCTGCTGGCCGAGGTCACCGTGGCACCGAGGATCGAGGGGGATTCCGGCTCGTCGCTCAAACAGGCCGTCAAGTTAATCTTCTGTGCCGCCGGACTTCAGGTGGGGCCCCTTCAGGAGTGGCGTGTGGTCTTAACGCCATCCACTGGCGCCGTGTTTGTGCAGCTGTGGGACGTGGTTTCATGTTTGTTGTGCGCTTTGCTCTCGGGTGACTCACTATTTGAAATAGATGCTCCACGTCTGTTGGTTGTGTAAATAGGAACCGCTTCGTTGTCCTCTTCATCCTGGTCATGAATCGACCCGTCCTATTGTGACGGGGACAAAATGCTGCTGTTTATTGATTTGCCATTCAAAGAATCAACGGCCTGAGAGAAGCAGTTTTATGTCCAGATACAGTAGATCAACATCTGTCATAGAGCAGAGAGGTGTCCTCCTGAACGTCCTACACAGGACAAGAAACTAAAATACACAATGAATTAGCGTTGCAATATTCGACTGGAACGGTGTCGTTGTAGAGCACAAGCTGACCTCAGCCCTGTGATCCTTAGGCGTCGTACCTGACGTGGGGCGTCCTGCAAGAGCGGGTGATGACGGGCTCCTACGGGGCCACGACTCCCGAGGACGAGGGCGAGAAGTTCAAGGACTCCCAGTTCCTGGTCTTCATGAACCGCATCCTGGCCCTGACCGTGTCGGGCCTGTGGTGCGTCCTGTTCAAGCAGCCCCGCCACGGCGCGCCCATGTACAAGTACTCCTTCGCCTCGCTCTCCAACATCATGAGCAGCTGGTGTCAGTACGAGGCCCTCAAGTACATCAGCTTCCCCACCCAGGTGCTGGCCAAGGCCTCCAAGGTCATCCCCGTCATGCTCATGGGCAAGATGGTCTCCCACAAGAGCTACGAGTACTGGGAGTACTTCACCGCCGTGCTCATCTCGCTGGGCGTCAGCATGTTCCTGTTGTCCAGCACGCCCAGCAAGCACCTGTCCACCGTCACCACCTTCAGCGGCGTGGTCATCCTGGTGGGCTACATCGTCTTCGACAGCTTCACCTCCAACTGGCAGGACAACCTGTTCAAGCACAAGATGTCGTCGGTGCAGATGATGTTCGGCGTGAACCTGTTCTCCTGCCTCTTCACCGTGGGCTCGCTGCTCGAGCAGGGCGCCTTCTTCGACTCGCTGGCCTTCATGACGCGCCACTCCGAGTTCGCCTTCCACGCCGTGCTGCTGTCCGTGTGCTCGGCGTGCGGCCAGCTCTTCATCTTCTACACCATCAGCCAGTTTGGCGCGGCGGTCTTCACCATCATCATGACCCTGCGCCAGGCCATCGCCATCCTGCTGTCCTGCTTCCTGTACGGCCACGCCGTCACCGTGGTGGGGGGGTTTGGCGTCGCCGTGGTCTTCTTGGCGCTTTTCCTGCGGGTGTACGCCCGCAGCCGCATGAAGGCCGGGCGGCGGGCGGCGCTGCCGCTGGCGCAGAAGGTGTAGCGCGGCGCGGCGGACTGAGCCACGGCGGCCGTGGTGCTTTTTGTCTTACTGCTTTTTTTAACTCTTCTTTTCCATGTTTGTGTCTTCGTCTGGTACAGGAAGGGATTTTGACGTTTTTGACACTTACACCAAAAGGCCCCCCGGGGTCCACGTGATCTGTCGCGTCCGCGGTCACAGAAGCTTTGAGTGCCTGTAAGATTGTCTTCTACACGAATCCCAAACCACAAACTGTGTAAACTGCCTCTTCACCACGTTCATACTTCAACGCTAGAATATTTCCCCCCAAAACCGCCGCACGAGGCTTCCAGCCACACAACGAGCGCCTGAACCACGTTGCCCTTCTCAGGCCCGCGTGTCGGGTTCGGGGAGCGGCGGGCGTCTGCTTGTCAAACCGAAGCACCATGTTTGACCGACGTGGGCAGCGGATCCTCGTTCATTCCAAATCTAAAACACAGGACTTTTCTTTCTGGAGTAGTGAACGGGACTTTGACCTTCAGTAGCGTTGTTCTCCTTTCTCGGTCCTCCATGTTGGAGAACGCGGGTCTTTTTATTGTGTTAAGCTGTAAACCGTCGAGGAGGAGGCAGTTGTTACAAAGAGCACTTTGTATGAACCATTTGAACCAAAACACCAGTGAAACACGCTGATGTGGGTTCGTTTTGCACGACATCGTTTAGAGGAAAACACTTTCCTTTCCTTTGGTTGTCCTTTTCAACACAGATTCTACTTAATATTTTAACTATGGGCTAAAAAGTCTTGTAAATATCTGTCTTTGTTTCTTTCGACTTGTCTCATGTACTTTTGTAAAAGAAAACGCTCCGTTAATTTTCACCGTCACATGTGAATGTTTGAAGAACACGGATGCTGATCGCAAGGGACGTTCAACCCTACTGGTACCTTGTTTTTATCATTCTCATGTTTCCTCTGGTAACTGGATTGATAATAAAGCATTTTAAATTAACTCGACACTCCAGTGAAGATCCGTTTGTTTCTGTGCTGCAGAACTTTCCTCGTGTCCGGTGAAACACACGAACCTTCACTTTACCGTCGCTGCAACTGACAGTGACAGGACAGTTTTAACAGTCGAAGTTTTAATTAAAAAAGATTCAAAAGATTTTGTAGAAGTGTATAATAATAATAAGTCTCTGTCTTTAAGACTCAAAGTAACCAAAAGTTGTTGGACATTAGTCCCATTAGTCCCATTAGTGGACGAACTGAACATTTTACCCGAAGGTCAAACGTCGTACGGGACGAAACGTCCTTCCACCAGCAGCTGTCTGCGATTCGTCTTTTCTATGTTTTGTCTGAGAAAGTGTTTTGGCCCAATGAGCCGAACCGTTGGAGGACATTTGGGTCTTCAGGAGTAACGGCTAAACGTCCAGTTAGCGGCGCGTGTCCAACGGGTGAAACGTGTCGTAGGTTTTTCTCTCTTTGGTCTTTTCAAGAAGAAAAAAAACATGCGTGTTATTTCTGAAACAAACTTTTCATCATTCTGCACTAATTCACAAACCGCTGTAATGATTCACTGAACATCAAACCGAAGACCGTGTTTGACTGTAGTGAGAACAAAACGTTAACCGGTGCCGCCGCTGCTCGATGGGGGAATTTCCCCGCACTTCATCCAACGCCGTCTGCTCCGGGTTTGTGCGTCACGACGTCAGCGCCTCTTTTCAATAACGCAAATTAAAAAACGAGATCTGGGGTCTGATCAGTAATCACGCACACGCACGGCCACGGCCACACACGCACAAAACCAACAGGCAGATATTTGCACACACATACGTGTGTGTGTGTGTGTGGTTGAACTTGACTGATTTTCTTATAAATCGTATTTGGGAAATCTAAACAAAGCAAACCGGCTCCTTTACTGACATTTGCCGTAAACAAACACAGAGCCGCCCTGAAGGTCATCGTTCCCGTGGTTACTGCCTTACTTCAGGTCAAAGGTCGTCGCTTGTTCTCGTCATCTCGCTTTCTTGCTATTTGATGCAAAGCGTCAAACGCGAGAAGTAACGCGATGCCTGGAAGTGTTTCACTGATCGTGGTGATTGTGTTTTCCTCGCGTTGTAAATGTCACTGTGGAATCGTGTGCAACACTTTGCACACTTTGCAAAACCAAACTAATCCGCAGATCTGAAATAAAAACCACAACCTCAGTTGTCATCACGAAGGGGGCCACACACCGACGTTCTAGACGTAGACAGACGAGACGTGCGTCCAGTGTCTCCGGAGGACAATACGCAGAAAAAGACAACAGGAGACAAAGCTTTTTCTGGACTGTCTTTACTTTCTGGTCAATCTATGATCTACATTTGTCTTTTAGAAATATATGTGTTACTTTTTTTTTATGTTTGGCCAAACAGTTTTATCTCAAAGTACATTCTTGTCAGCCCTGAGAAGAATCTCCTTTAACACACCACGTAGTCTGAGCTTGTTTGCGTCACACAAGGCTTGTGGTTTCCATCGAGGCCGATGACGGCGTCCACCTGTGAGGCCGCCTGTGTTAGTGATGCCGACGGTCAGCCCCGTCCTGCTGAAAGCCTTCACAGCTGCGTCCAGGACGGCCCGGTGGCCTCGTGGAGCCACCTAGCCGACGTACTATATGACGCACAGGGGGAAGACGTTAAAGAGCACTGGCGCTTGTCCTCCTCTTGTCCCTCTGGCATTCATACGATCATGAAACTGTCGGAGGGTGTTGACAAACTTGCTAGGGCATCTAAACCGGAGCGGGATGTCCCACGGTAGGTGTCTCTGCAGCGTCGAAGGCCTTTCAGAGGTTGACCAAAGCCATAAAAAAAAAAGCACTTTTCGTGAAGTTGCCGCGCAGTGAAGAGCGAGTCGACTGCACTGAGGACACGTCAAAAGCCTTCAGCGCAAAACTCAGCCAACTAAGATATCAGGCAACAGGCTACAGCTAACGTTAGCTACACGCACTGCTGAGGCCTCAACAGTGTGCCGTTTAAAAAGATTGTATAAATGTCCAACATAGAAACTGCATTGTTTTTTCTTTGTTTGAATAAATGACGCAGCGAGAGTTCATTCCTTCAAGCACTCGATCACCACGGTGCTCGTTGCAGATTCCAGAGCACCTTTTCACCTAAATGTGTAAAATCCTTCCATGATGCTGACTGAAGATGCGGAAAGTGAAGGACGCGTTAAAAAAACAGCTCAGCACGTTTCTGAATGACGCAGCGGTTTCCACCATCACTTCGTTGCTGATGGAGCAGTAAAACCGCCGCCCCCTCAACACTTGGAAACAAATGACTTCTAAGAAACTGGTTTTTACATTTCCCCGAAAGCACTAAACGTTCAGGAAACGCACGTTTTATTTTAGAAGGCGATACACGTGGACAATGTGCCGCTTCATGCGGTGCGGGGGCTTTCTGCAGTGAAAGATCAAACTGTTTTTACAATCGACATGGTATACAATCCATTAGTCCAACATTTCTAATGTTTACTATACACAATATCGCCGATAAAGCAATTTGATCAGATTTCAGTTTAACCGGCCAGTTAATCAGGTTTCAGCAGGCGAGTCAGTTTGGGTGAAAACTAAATACACAAGGACACTTGTCCAGGAGACCAATAAGCTCTTCTCATACGACCCAGAATCAAATATTTGCACACATACTGTACACTGAAGGAAAGAGTCTCTTGTTAAAGGCCACTTTGTGCAGCGCGTTCAAACATTTACATTCTGTAACGCTCAAACTAAGGTGGAGTCTGAGGAGCCACCAGCCTGCAAGCTTTAGACAACTGGTGGACCAACAACGCCACCGTGTGGTCAAAAGACAGAACAGTTTACATCAAGTCATTGTTTTAGCAAATTTTTCAGAATTGAAATGGTGCAATGAGAAAATATTTCAGTCATAGAATGTTTGATAAGGTATTACAGCTTTAATTTTTTGCAAAACAAGACTTTGAATACAGACAAGCCTGGACTCTGGCAAAGGAATCATACAGTCGTCTCTCATGCAGCGTGCCGTGTTGCACATGAGCAGAACCTCCCCAAACCGTGCACCAGACCTGATCCGATAATGGAATGTACTTCTCCCATCTTCACACATTTACCACGCCAACATTTAAAACTCAGTGCAACAAGGTACTCGATAAAACGTGTTGTCACCACGAACTTATACGGCAAAAACCAAAACAGCTTTTCTTAAAGGTCTTGCAGAGTAATGCTCCGGACGCAAGAGCAACACTGGTCCAAACAACATGAATGACTATTTTTGTTGCAATTACTGCAGTTTTAGAGGATGAACAATTGAAAAGTGAGGCTAAGTGTTAGAAATCTGGGGGATGATTCGTTTAATCAACTTCTTCCATGCGCGAAGCGTCATCTTCACCTTCGCCTTCTAGGGGAGGGATTTCATCTGGGATGGATGCAGCTGTTGCCTCCTCTATTGGGACATCGTCGTCATCGATACCTGCAGATAAATAGTTTGTCAGATCAATACGTGTCCCACACAAACATAAGCTTGTAATCAGATCACTCCTCCTTACCCAGTCCCAGTTTGATCATTCTGTAGATGCGGTTGGAGTGCGTCTGAGGGTCGTCCAGGGAGAAGCCTGAGGACAGCAGGGCGGTTTCGAACAGCAGGATGACGAGGTCCTTCACGGCCTTGTCGTTCTTGTCTGCGTCGGCCTTCTGCCTGAGCGTCTCCACGATGGGGTGGTCAGGGTTGATCTCCAGGTGTTTCTTTGCCATCATGTAGCCCATGGTGGAGTTGTCCCTGAGGGCCTGGGCCTTCATGATGCGCTCCATATTGGCAGTCCAGCCGTAAGTGCTGGTCACGATGCAGCAGGGTGAAGACACCAGCCTGTTGGACACTGTTACCTGAGAGACAGTCACACTGGAAATTAGGACTTCAAAGAATGCGTAGCTGGCCCCACCTAAACGTCAAGTTAATACATCATGCACAAGTCATGTTAGAAATGAAGCAAACTCCTTTATGCACAGACGAATAGTCAGCATCAGATTGTAGTTTCACATCCGTTAAACAGGCATCAGTTAAATCACACAGTTGCACCAAAAAAAAAGTCACAATTTAGAATCACTCAACACGTTGTCAATCAAAAACTCATCCAGGACACACACACACACACACACACACACAATGAGGGGCGCCCTTGCAGATTTACAAAACTCACCAGAATACTAGTTAGGACCAGTTAGGGAACCTGTTTCCAGACAAAAGTTTCAACTATAGTTGTGATTTCATAACCTAAATTCGTCTGGCCTGGAGGGAAATTATCAGGGTTACTGACCTTCTCCACTTTCTTGTCAAGGATCTCCTTCATGAGCTTGCAGAGGTTCTCAAACTTGGCCTTATCCTCCTCCATCTTTTTCTTCTCATCTCCATCCTCTGGCAGCTCCAGGCCCTCCTTGGTGACAGAAACTAGGGTCTTTCCATCAAACTCCTTCAACTGCTGGACGCAGTACTCGTCAATGGGCTCCGTCATGTACAGAACCTCAAAGCCGCGCTTGCGGACGCGCTCAACGAAGGCGGAGTTTGCCACCTGATCCTTGCTTTCACCTAAACATCAAGAAAAGTGTCACCCTGAACATTTGCTAATGAGTTCCTTTAAAGTGCACTTCTGTTCATAGACCAACGCACCAGTAATGTAGTAGATGGACTTCTGGTTCTCCTTCATGCGGGTCAAGTACTCTGTGAGGGAGGTTGTGTCATCGCCAGACTGAGAGCTGCTGTAACGCAACAGTTCAGACAACTTCTTGCGGTTTTGGGAGTCTTCATGGATGCCCAGCTGCAGACAGACAAATATAATTACAATATACCAACAAATTCACCAAACAGAAGCCTGAGTCAAGACCAGCGTACGCCGCTTGTTTTAGACCTTCATACCTTGATGTTCTTTGAGAAACCTTCGTACAACTTCTTGTAGTTCTCGGTGTCTTGAGCCAGCTCGGCAAACAGCTCGAGGCACTTCTTGACAATGTTCTT